AAATCAAAATAGTAGAATGTTATATTTGAAAATGTGATACTATGAACTACTGTAAAGGTAATTTTATTGATCTCCAAGTGGCTGTTATGTTAACTTTTTGACGTGTGATTTTTATTAAACATATTTTTCATACTTTTTGAATTACTTTGTATTAATTTATATCAAAATAAGTGTAAAATATTATATTTAGCGTTTTCATAATTTATGGTGATGAAATGCTGGTGTCTTATTCAACGTTAAAGGTAAAATCTTCCAAACACAGCTCTTTCTCAAAGAGTAATTTTTCAAATTTGCAGTTACTTAGATCTGAGAGAAACAGTTATTCCTCATTGAAATTTCTTTAATTTGCAAAATAAATTATTGACACATTTTGAATATAAATGAAGAAAAAAAATTTAACTACTTTTTTTGATTTTATATTGTAGTACGAATACAATTTCGTTAATCTAACAAATTTTTCGTAACTTTTAGGCTGTTTTTAATAATTAAAAAATACCAAATTATATTTTTGCTTGTAATTAGAGCGTCAGAAAAAATATATATTAAAGTGACGTTGTTCCCTCTGCGTTAAAGGGTTATGGAAAATGTACAAAATACTATTTGCTGTCCTCATTTCAATTCAAACATGTAACATAATAACACTTTTTATTCCTAGTTCTTTCAATTTCGTGAAATATTTATTAATTGTTCATATTCTAAACCTTTTTATGCACTTTAAAAAAATATTTCAGAGGGCATAAATGAAGAATATATTTTATCTCAGGCGACGTTCCTTATTTTAATCTAATCAAATCCCATACATTTAAATAACCTTATTACACATATCAAATTCTAACTGCAGAATCCTTCAGTTTTCCAAATCGGTTGAACATATCAAGCTTCCAATTTATAAACTATTTTTATTAAATGACATTAAAGTCAAATACCTATTTGAATTCTTAGTATACTTACTTACTCCTCCGCATTAAATTCGATGAAGGGCCTTTCCCTACATTACCACACAGATCCACTTTTTACAGTCCTTGGTCTTTATCCTCCAGTTTTTGATTTTCATTTTTTTTTTCGAATCTCTTTCTAGGGTTTCCTTTATTCTTAGTAATAACTGCAGTCAAACCCCGCTATAGTGAACACGGTTTATAGTGAACGAAATGTTCGGTCCCGTGCCTTACTTTACACGGATGTTATTTTTTGTGGATATAGTGAACCAAAAAAGTGAGGAAGTTGGATATAATGAACTTTTTTCTGCCTTCAACGAATTTTTTTTTGTAATAATTTTGAAATTTCTACTTCAAAAAAAAAAATACAGATACCGATTTTCAAAGCCATTTATAGAGGGGAATGTAGCGATAAGCATTTTTTTTCCTGTTTGCTTCTTTTATCTCACTTTCCCATCCCTAAACGAACAAAGCAGATGTTTCCAACCCCGGCTGACACCTTACAGGCCCCTGTAAGGTGTCAGCCGGATCAATATGAATTTTCTGTCAGAGAGAATGAGCAATTATTCATTATTGGTCAAAGGGTTGGACACTAATATGTGTTGATACGGCCCTCATTTCAACTCCTTTTTGCCCTCAGTTCAGTTTAAAAAATCCTGCAAACAAGTGTCTCAAATTTAACTATGGCGAGCAGTCAACGTAAAACGTTCTCCATTGATGATAAAATGGGCATAATCAGAAAAATTAGAAATGGATGCAATCAAGCTGATATCTGCAGGGAATATAAACTATCCAAATCTGCAGTTTGTAACATATGGAAAAATAAGCAATTAATAATTTCTGCTCATGAAAAAAATTTAGATGGCAGAAAAAAAGTTGAAAAAAGCAGACCACAAGGGCGTTGAAGAAACATTACTGAAGTTGTTCACCAATCGAAGTATTTGGACAAATGTCAATGAATTTTCTAAGCGATTTTATAAGACTACTTTTATGTGCTCGAATGGCAGGTTAGACAGGTTTAAAAAGCGGAATAACAGAAATTCAGGAAAAATTATTTGAGAATCGGGAAGTGTTTCCATATCTGATGTTGAGGATTGCTCATCAGCTAAAGATTACTAATTTTTCTTTGTTCGCAAGACAAAGAGTAATGAAAAATAACACATTTTTTGCTACTACATAATATTTTTCAGTCATTTAATTGAATAATGTGTAATAAAAGGGAGGAGTTTGGGAACCATTACTTAAATTACCTGCATAACCGATATAGTGAACTCCCGGTTATAGTGAACAGAAATTTCGGTCCCTTGAAGGTTCACTATAGCGGGGTTTGACTGTTTTTCTTCGAGATAATATTAGGGGAAAAAATTGGCACCATATTCCACTCAACAAACGAACATCAGTACCGAAATTAAATTGAGAGTAATAGACCTGAAAAGAATTTTCAAAAAAAAAAAATTTCCACCATTGTTGTTCATGCAAAATTGATTCAACTGAAATTCTTATGGATAATATTTATATTTGCAGAGCTCGAAGTACCAAATATAAATATTATCCATAAGAATTTCAGTTGAATCAATTTTGCATAATAATATTAATAAGGACTGGCCATGGGAGACAAATCCTCCACAACCTGCCTAATCAAAAGCCAAATTAAAAGTACACGTAATTTGTTCCCAACAGACACAGAAGCATGGAGAGGAGATCCAAAATTGGCGAATTATCAAAATATAACACAGCCAACCAGCATATTAATATTGGGTTTAAAAGAATACCTTGGCGATCACGAGTCGCCAACAAATTTATGAGAATTATTACAACGATGCAACTGAAACATTTTAGCAGTTGGAAATTAGAATAAAAAGTAATAATAGATTTTTGTTTTCAATTAGAGGCGACAGTGAATTAATAAGTCTGCATTAGTAGTGAAATAAAAAGTATCCGTTACATTGATCTATAAGAGAAGAAAAAATATTTCGTGCTCGTTTTAAAAGATTAAGTCTTTGATTTATTTTAAATATAATTCTATTAATAAAAATAAGCTTAAGTAATCAAAGATATTTTAAAAGGTAGGAAATAAATATGTAATGCCAATTGTGGCATCACAACAAAACAAACTAAAATTCTGGATATGTGAGGAAAAAAAGTGTCGTAAAAATGACAATATAATTATGGTCCCTTAGTTTTTGTTTTTAAAAAAGTATCAAACAGTAACTTGCAAATAAGCTAGCAAATTAAAAGGAAAATAAACAACTTCCAACTATATATACCAAATTTAATAGCAAACATACATAATATTTATAAATCAGGATTTTCATAGATATTCAATATCACAATTAAATAATTCTTATAAATACAATAGTCTCTCATTATCATGGGCTGACACAGGTTTTAGAGTTCTGGGACAAATTTAATTGCAGGCACATTCATCCAAACAATTTCAAAACCTTCAACCTTTTACATTCAAACCAGGGTTGGGTTTTTGACGTCAAAAAGTGGTTTTTGACATGACAAGGGTATAATACTGGTTTAAACCGTCAAAAACCCGTCAAAAATGTCAAAAACTGAAGTTTGCCAAGAAAATATATAAACTTCAAAACTACCAACAGTTGCCATGCATTATATTGAAATTTAATTATACTATAGGTAATCAGCAGGTTTTAAAATATTTTTTAATTAAAATTAAGGTAAAATAACAGATTTAAAATCTCAGAAATTTATATTCAAATGCATGTGCAGAAACATTTTGCACAAAATTTTTTTAAATATTTATATTTTGGAAAAAAAAATTTTTTTTTGATACTTAAGAAAATTAAAAGTTTATTACTATGCATTTTTGACATATAAGGAACATATAACTAATATTTATAAGGAACTTACAAGTTATGTTGTATAAATACAAACTTGATACAAGTGTATGAAAAAAAATTTTAATGTTATACCGAATATCTTGATTATCCAGATTGTTAATTTGAATTTAAAAGTAGTTATATTTGTGAATAATGATAAATATAATTCATATTGTTTATTATATTTATTTATAATTATTACACTTATCATTTTAAAACAATTTTTACCTCTTAATTTTTTTCCCCCACTTGTATTAAGAATACAAATAATGCATATCTTGAAAGCAAGAAGTAATTATTCAACAGCTGAATATTTAGATATTCAACAAAACTATGTATATAGTATTCAGCAAAATGAAATTCACAAGTATTTGGATAAACTAAATTTTCAGCATAGTAAATGAATAGGCTGAATATACTGTAAATCGACACTAACTACTCTGTGTATTTAACAGAAAGCACTTAAATTTGTATTGTCTTATGTTAAAAAGATTATTAAGAAGATTTAAAAGAATATTAAAAAGATTTTTCTTTAAAAGATGTCTAATGCGCAAAACTGCTAATGTTTATCTTTAAAAATGTCTAATTTTTAGTATAATCTATACTATACACTAAATTTGGTCATAAATAAATTTCTTAATAATATCACTGCAGATTTTCAATAACACATGAAAATGAATACATAATATTACAAAAGATGTGAGCTTTCAAAAGTACAAGATTTTGGTTACTATTCAAAATATAAGTGTTTCTTCAAAATTTTAAATTTATTTTTTCTAGAACATATTTAGAAACACTATCCTTTATAAAAAATATATAAATTTTATGTATTAATTAAATTTCACATATGAATATAGGTTTTCGACATTTTTGACAGTGAGGTTTTTGACGTGACGGTTTAAACCATGGTTTAAACTGTCAAAAACTGTGACATGTCAAAAACATGCCAACCCTGATTCAAACCTTTTTCAAAAAGGTAGCTTACAATTTAATTCTCAAAGTATGAATTTCCATAAAAATATTAACTTAGAATTATTTTAATAATTTAATTATTTAGTGGTTTATTCTACAAACCACAAATATAATGCATAGGTTTTTAATTTAAATCAATTAATCCTTTTAAAAAAGAACCAAAAGATGAAAAATTTTCCAAATATTTTATTAGGAGATTTTGATTGTCCCATAAAACCTTTTTATTTTTAACTTCTTGCAAGTTATATTAGAGCCATCTTTGGAAACAATAACAGTCTAGGTTTAAAAATTGCTTGGAGGAAAAAATTTTCATTTCTTTATGGGATAGATAAGGTGATCTGCAAACAGCATCTTTAATATACTTAATGACTGTTAAAAAGGTATAAAATGCTACCATATTCTGACAAACAAAAATACTATTAAGTAAGGGATAGAGATCATTAATCGCCTCGTGAAACTAGATGTTTCAAAAATCAGTTTTTAACTCGTCTATTTCCTGAAGTAACAAAGCAGATTTTGACATTTTTAATTTGCCTTCTTCAATAGTGACCTACATATTTTAGTGGCATTTCCTCTAAATTTAAATATTATTTTGCAACCCTTATCTGCATGTTTTTGACTTCATCTTTTACAAGGAAATTTCAAGTGGCAAAAACAGAACACTCAAAATGCAAAAATTTATCTGCAATATCTGATGAGTAAAATACAATAGGCATCATTCTAATGAAAAATGGCTGGAACCATTCATTTTCTCTCATTAACTGAAGATTTGAAATTAACAGATTCATAAACAAGACACCACAATACATAATAAAATACTATTCTTATAAGTACTGTACATGATATATGCAAGTTTACATTAACTTTTTAAGAATAAAAAATATAACAAATAACGAATGGAAAGCCACCATTTCCACTTTTTTTTTCGGAAAATATCTAATAAGAAAAACTGAAATATCTATAGGATAAACCTACCCATGTATATTTCGTTTTTGTAACATAGATAAATTTGTATTAAAAAATGAATAAAACAAATACAGGAACTTTCCAGGCTTAAATTTCTTGGTATATAAACAAATAGTTTCACATTAGGGTGCACAACCTTTAGAATGTATGTGGCAGAAAAAGAAAAAAAATTTTGGAGGCCATTAGGAATTTTGTTTTAATATGAATTTCTATAATTTAAATGTTTCTTATTGTAAATGAAAACAATAGTTTGCCTAAAAAAAGGCCAATTAATCATAATTTTTACAAAATACACACATGGTATTTTCATCTTAAGTTTTGCTCTCTTTGTCTTCTTTAATAAATTTAAATTAAAATAGGTTTAGTATTATACTGTAGTATTATAATGTAGGTTTAGTATTATATATATATAAAATAGGTTTAGCATAATGTGCACAACTTTGATTATAAATTAATTTTACTAATTTTTATTGCAAACTAACAATTTTAAATTTTCGCTAAAAAAATTAAAAAGTGCGAAAACCTCAAATCTTTAGACGCTTTTACTCTGTACCTTTAAACATTCTTGAATTTTAACACTAAGGGTGTTTTTTATAACTTTATTAAAAAAGTTTTAAAACTTTTGAACTTTTTTCTGCAGGTTGTTCAACCCTATAATACATATTAATACAAGCTAATCAGGAAGAAGTTTGTAATAAGAAATTCAGAACATATAGCATAAAGCTACATGTATATATTTTGTTTCTGTAATAAAAGTATATTAAAAAGATCATTTAATGTGAAATACAGAGAAAGAAAACATTCACTTTAATTTCCATTACAAAAAAAAAAATTAACAAAAGAAATATAGGAACTCTCCAGGCTTGAATTTCTTGGTAAACACAGTTTCACATAGCGCAACCTTTTGGATGTGGATGATAGAAAAAAAATTTTTTTCAAGGCCATTATGAATTTAGTTTTAATATGAATTTCTTATAATATAAATGTTTCTTAATCAATTAATATCATAACAATAGTTAGTCTAAGAAAAGGACAATTGAATATAATTTTTGAAAAATACATTGTATTTTCAAATAAAGTTTCGCACTGTTTGTCTTCTTTAATAAATTTAAAATTAAAATAGGTTTCTAGTTATTTTTGAGTAAAAATTAATTTAATCCTTATTGCAAACGAACAATTTAAATTTTTCTTTTTAAATTTAAACAACAAAAACTTCAAATCTTTTGACATCTTATTTTGTACCTTTAAACATTTTTGAATTTGAACACTAAGGTGTTCTTTATAATGTTATAAAAAAAAAATTTTAAATTTTGAACTTTTTTCAGCAGGTTGTTCACCCCTATAATACATATTAATAATAGATTACAAGCTAATCAGTAGGTAACTTCAAAATGTAGAACAACTTTTACAAGAAATGTAGAAATTCTCCAGGCTCGAACTCAAATTGATTATCCAACTCATCGTCTGGAAAAAGAGTGCACCTAGCATTTAAAGCATTAAAATGAAAGTAAGGATTTGATGATTCTAATATTTTCATACACTCCCAACAGAAAAAGGTAGCACATTTGAAACACGTCATTTTATTACATCCATCACTTTTCTCAATGCTGGCTTTACAAGAAGGACAACTTTTACTGTTAGAATTCTTCCAAGACTCTGATAATGAATCTTCAACTAAAGCTTTAATAGCTCTTTTTCCATGCCTTTTTTCCAACTGTTCCTTCACTTCTGAATCACCGCTCATGTATTGCTCAAATATTGCTTTCTTTTGTTCTGATTTAAAAGTGCAAGGTGCAACACCATGATAAGCCATTTTGCAATAGGGGCAAAATGCAAAAGTACATTGAGGACATCTTCCTATGCGGTCATTCAGATCAATAAGTACAGCACATTGGCAGGATTTACGAGGACAATAAGCAATATCTGACATAGTTTCCAAAGTTCTCGACAATAATATATCGTCATACCTTTCAAATAAACCTTTATCAACAATTTGTTGTACCATAGTCCCATCAGCTTGAGTATTACATTTCTCACTTGGACAATTCAAGCAATTCACATTTCCTTCACGAATATGAACTTCAAAGAATTCCTTTAGACACTCTTTGCAAAAAGAATGTTTACATATTTTAAATGCTGCAAAATCTGCCCCTAACTTCGTAGTCATGCAAATATCACATTCATGGAATTTTCTATTGAAAATATCAGCAGTTTTATAGTTATCATATGATTTTAGTAAATTGATCAAAGACCTACCATCTGCTATATCATTAAGAGCTCTTACATCAATTAAGCCTTCACCCCCAGAAATGGATGGTTTAAAGGCCATAAAAGAATCCTTAGCCATGGTATTATTTGATTCTTTAAATTCGCCTGTAGAATTTTTAGAATTCCGAAAATTACAGCCACCTTTGTAAGACAGTATTTCGGAGACATCAAGATATCGATCAAATTTATAAAATTCAGCAACTTCACTTTCAAGAAATTGACACCATGAATACAACACCGGCATATCTTTGTCCCACAATGATTCTAAATGCTTACACAGTTCAGATATTTGAGCAAGAGATAGCCAATTACAGGATAGCAAAAATGCTGGGCATGTCTCTGAAGGATACGAATCAGGAAATTCGAAGAATAAATTAATAGGTGGCAGATTTTCCACTTTAAATGTTTCAGCTCTGGAATTTTTTGTATCTGAATTTTCCGCACCAATTTCAGATGCAGGAATATTTTCAATATTATATGTAACATAGAATGGAGTAGGTAACCAAACATTAGCTTTAAAATGGCCACAAACTGGTATTTGATCTTCGAAAGTTAAATTTTTTTCATAAACATTAAAAATACTTTCAACAGCAGAAAGCTCCTCTTTTTGTTGACTTAAATTATCCATTTATTTTCAATTTTCGGCACGATTTTTCAGTGGATGTTATGTTTATCGAGACATTGATAGATTGATTGAGTTAATGTTCGAAGGATGTACGCTTCTGGCTCCCCATTTCTGTAACACTTAATTTGGATTAAGGGTAACAGAAGTGGAAAACCGGAAACGTTTTAGGGAAAAAAACAAATCATCAATAAATAAATAAATGACAGCTTTAGCTGTTACTGTTTAGACAATCAATCAAATAGCGAAATTTTGCTAAACTTTTTAGTTTCCGAAATTGTCTTATTAATATGATGTAACTTCAATGAGTGTTTTATGATTAGTTTTGACTAAGTACATTTACTCGCGTCGGCCTCCATCTTTACTGAAAAAAACTACTCTAACAACCTAATAAGCTGAGCCTATTCTCAAATGTAAGTTATAAAATATTGTTACTAATGCTAATATAAATAAGTATTTTGGAATTTTTTTTACATTTGGAGGGGACATTTTATTATATAACATTCAATTTTTATTGATAATCATGTTTCTTAGACCTTCCAAATTTAACAGGTGTCTAAACTACTTCTGACTGATATTTGATGACGTCTTTTTAGCTTATCAACTTTTTATTTAGAAATGAGCTGTATTTTTTTCTTCTTCTTACTTTTAAAGTTTGTAAATTTGACGATTACTTTTGATTTTTTGGTAAACTAATTTTTAAGCATAAGAAGTGAAGCATAATATGTTCTCCTCAGAGACTATAGTTTTCAGTAGTGAATTGTATTATTTATTTACTTGAATTATGTGATAAAATATTCTTTCTTTTCCTTTGAGAATTCTTTTTTCAAGATGATCAAAATAATTCTTAAATTTTGCCAATACGTTTTTAAAATTAACAGGGATGATTGTGTTTTGGTAAAATACCATGTTGAAATTTCAGTTTAAAAAAAAACTAAAATTTTGGCTTCTCCTAAGAATGTTCCGTTTTTCCTAATGTATGACGATACGGTTTATTTCACTCCCTCAATGAGTAAACCGCGATTTGTGCTAAAGTGGTCTACGAACCACACATAATGATTCGCATTCATATAAGTGATTTATCACGATTTATGACTAATATTCATGTGATTTATCTGATTTTTGAATGATAGTTTTTTCTATTCATATTGAACAGATTTACAAGTTATATATCACAATTTAATATCTGCTTGTAAGTCACACATACAGTCTACGACTCCCCACATCAACCGCATTTCATATGCAAGTAGCATATCAAAATTTGTATTAGTGTAATTTCATAATTACACTTTGTGATTCTTTCACACATTTAAAAATAACAAACGAAATCAAATTCACAAGATTTAAAAATCTAATAAGATTTATGTACACATTTACAGGATTTATCGTTTTTCATTCATGTCAGAGATATTTTAAAATGTTTCAAGTTATTGGAATTAAATCATTCTGTTATCAAGGAATATTATACTTTGATTGTTTTTGCAGAGAGTTTATTTATTTAATTTTTATTATACTCTAGCTCTATTTAGAAGAAATTTCAGGCTTCAAGTTTTAAAAATAATAATTAAGTTTTCTTTTGGAAGCGAAGTTTCAATTTGAATTTAAAATGCATTATATAAATAATGTATGTTAAAATGTTTTATTCTTCTAAATTATTATGTAATTAACTTTTAGTTAAACCTAAATCAAAATGCATTTAATAAGTAAGTTAAAAAAAAACAAAAAAGAAACTCGAACACAAGTTATGGTCAACAATATAATTTTTCAGAGCGGGTTTCACGATTTTACAAACAATGCATTATATTGATAGATGTTAAAAAAAAATTCATAATTATTATGATTGACTTATTGGTTTTGCAAACAATAGTTCATAGATTTCACAAATAGAAATTTTTATTTGAATTGAAAATGCATTGTATTAATGCATGTTAAAAAGTTTTTGTTGTTATTATGGAATTAACTTTATTAAAATTGTAACCTACGTCAAAATATATTTTGCTTACCGTTTACATGTCAATGTTGCAAAAGATGCTACATTGACTCTAAGCTTTAATTAATGAGCAATTACTGTCCTAATATTATTTTTCAAACATTTAAAATTTACATCAGGATGTATTCTTTGTATTCAACTTGGTTCTGCTTCCATAAATATTTTTTTTTTTATTAATATTAGAAATTTGGTATAATATCCTGCTTATATTTAAACGAAACGTTTTTATCCTGCTTATATTTAAACGAAGATAAAAATTTATAGTATAGCTATAATACTTTCTATACTTTGTTTCACCTCAAGTTGGCACTGGAGAGAAAGACAGAGAGACTGGATTGCAGCCATTGTCATGGAAACTGGGTTGCTCTAAGATAGTTAGGGGCATAAGTTAGCAAAAAAAGGGACAGAAAAGTGGCTAATATTGGCATTAAAGAAAACAAAGCTCCAATTTTTTTTTATATATATTATATATTTATATTTTTTATCTTTCTATAATTTTGAGCAAAATACAGAAAAGAACAAGATTTTTTTAGAGCATTTCTAATGATTTGAGATACTAATTGTAGGCTGATTTCTTATTATAATTTTTGAGAAGTAGATTTTTCTTTTTTATGAATTTTAACAAACATGGTTTTTTTAACTAAATGAAACAAAATTAAATTTAAAAAGATAATTTTTTTTATTAAATTTAAGTAAGAAAAAAAAATACACAGATTCTCAAAAATATTTTACTTTAGACACGGATTTTTGTATGCAACCATTTTTTTTTATAGTTTTATGCATTTAAATTTATCCCACATTGGTGTATAGTGGAGGAAGGAAAAGTCAACATAAGCATGAAATCATTGATTCTGAAAAAGATCATATGTATGTTTTATAATATTTACTGTTCTTTTTTTTATGTAAAGAAATCACATTTTATTTTCCGTGAATTTTTTTATAATGAAAATAATTTGATTTTTTCTGAATTATATTTGCTTCTAGGAAACAAAAGAACTTACCTATAAAACTCTCCATAAGAAAAGATTGCTTTTTTCTTTTTTTCAAAAGAAGATTTCAAGTCTTTTAAAATTCCATATAAAGCTTAATCAATGACTAACAACAAAAAGCAAGCTAATATTTTATAATTAGCAAAAGAAGAGAAAAAATCATCAGTTAATGCAAAAATGTAAAAATTAATAACTATAAAAAACAAGCTAACAATAAATAGCAACAACAAAAAAAAATAACTCCTCGGAAACTAATTCCTTACCAAGCGCCTGAAGATTTGAAATTAACAGATTTAACAACGAGAGACCGCAAAACGTAATCATAAAAAATTATTCTTATATGTTCTATATATGATATATACACACATTATATAAACATTTTAAGAATAAAAAATAAAACAAATAAAGAATGGAAAGTCACCATTTCCACTTTTTCTTTGGAAAACATCTAATAAGGTCATGTTGAATATCTTATAATTAATAAGAAAAACTGAAATATCTATAGGATAAACCTACCCATATATATTTTGTTTCCTTAACATAGATAAATTTGTATTAAAAAATGAATTAAAGAAAATATAGGAACTCTTCAGGCTAAAATTTCTTGGTATATAAACAGTTTCACATAGGGTGCACAACCTTTTGGATGTAGGTGGCAAGAATAAAATCTATATTTCGGAGGCCTTTATGAATTTAGTTTTAATACGAATTTATTACAATTTAAATGTTTCTTAATATAATAAAAACAATAGTTTGTCTAAAAAAAAGGCCAATTAACCATAATTTTTGAAGAATATGCTCATGGTATTTTCAAAGTTTTGCACTCTTTGTTTTCTTTAATAAATTTAAATTAAAATAGGTTTTTAGTTATCGTTGGGTAAAAATTAATTTTTTTAGTTTTTCCTGTGAACTTAACAATTTTAACAAAAAACTTTTAAACAATAAAAACTTGACATCTTTATCCTGTACCTTTAAATATTTTACTTGTTTTTTTTTTAAGTTTATTAAAAAGGCTTATTAAAGGTTAAAGCTTATTAAAATTATAACCTTTTCCAGCAGGTTGTTCACCCCTATAATACATATTAAAATTAGATTACAAGCTAATCAGTAGGTAGTTTGTAATATGAAATATAGAACAACTTTTTAAAAAAATTTTAAAATTCTCCAGGTTCTAATTCAAATTGATTATATAACTCATCCTCTGGATAAAGATTGCACCTAGCATTTAAAGCATTAAAATGGAAGTAAGGATTGCCTGGTTCTAATATTTTCATACACTTCCAACAGAAAAAGGTAGCACATTTGAAACACGTCATTTTATTACATCCATCACTTTTCTCAATGCTGGCTTTACAAAAAGGACAACTTTTACTGTTAGCAATCTTCCAAGCTTCTGATAATGAATCTTCATCAAAAGCTTTAACTAAAGCTTGAATAGCTCTTTTTCCATGCCTTTTTTCCAGTTGTTCCTTCATTTCTGAATCACCGCTGATGTATTGCTCATATATTGCTTTCCTTTGTTCTGATCTTAAAATGCAAGGTTCAACACCATGATAAGCCATTTTGCAATTGGGGCAAAATGCAAAAATACATTGAGGACATCTTCCAATTCGGTCATTCATATCAATAAGTACAGCAGATTGACAGGATATGCGAGGACAATAACCAATATCTGCCATAGTTTCCAAAGTTCGGGACAATAATATATCATCATACCTTTCAAATAAATCTTTGTCAACAATTTGTTGAACCATAGTCCCATCAGCTTGAGAATTACATTTCTCTCTTGGACAGTTCAAGCAATTCACATTTCCTTCACGAATATGAACTTCGAAGAACTCTTTTAGACACTCTTTGCAAAAAGAATGTTTACACAGTTTAAATGTTGCAAAATCTGCCCCTAACTTCGTAGTCATGCAAATATCACATTCATGGAATTTCTTTTTGAAAATATCAGCAATTTTATAGTTATCATATGCTTTTAATGAATTGATCAAAGACCTACCATCTGCCATATCATTAATAGCTCTTACATCAATTAAGCCATCACCCCCAGAAATGGATGGTTTAAAGGCCATAAAAGAATCCTTAGACATGGTATTGTTTGATTCTTTACATTCAGTTACAGAATTTTTAGAATTCTGAAAGTTACAGCCACCTTTATGAGACAGTATTTCTGAGACATCAAGACAGTGATCAAATTTAAAAAATTCAGTCACTTCACTTTCAAGAAATTGACACCATGAATACAACACCGGCATATCTTTGTCCCATAACGATTCTAGATGTTTACACAGTTTAGATATTTGAGGAAGAGATAACCAATTACAGGACAGCAAAAATGCTGGGCATGTCTCTGAAGGATAGGAATCAGGAAATTCGAAGAACAAATTAATAGGTGGCAGATTTTCCACTTTAAATGTTTCAGCTCTGGAATTATTTGTATCTGAAATCGCAGCACCGATTTCGGAGGCTGGAATATTTTCAGTATCATATGTAACATAGAAAGGGGTGGGTAACCAAACATTAGCTTTAAAATGGCCACAAATTGGTATTTTATCTTCGAAAGTTAAATTTTTTTCATAAACATTAAAGATACTTTCAACAGAAGAAAGCTCCTCTTTTTGTAGACTTAAATTATCCATTGATTTTCAATTCTTTAGTTGGATTTTTAGTGGGTGTTTTGTTTACATAAGATATTGATAGATTGATTGTTTTGATATTCGAAGGATGTACGCTTTTGGCTTCCTATTTCTGTAACTTTTAATTTGCACAAAAAATTACAGAAGTGGAAAACCGGAAACGTTTTAGGGAAAAAACAAATCATCAATAAATAAATAAGTGACAGCTACAGCTGTTATTGTCTAGACAATCAATCAAATAGCGAAGTTTCGTAAAAATTTAATTTTCGACACTATCTCATTAACATTATGTAATTTCAATCAGTGTTTTATGTTTAATTTTGACAATGTACAATTACTCGCGTCCACTTTACTTGGAAAAACTACTGTGACAACCTAATAAGCTGAGCGTAACGTAAGTTTCAAATGTAAGTTTTACATTTTTAGTAATTCTGATAAATATTAATATTTTCGAATTTTTTTTTTACATTTGATAATTTTATTATATAAGATTCGATTTCTGTTGATATTCATGTTTCTTAGACTTACCAAATTTAACAGGTGTTGATACGTCTTAATTACTTCTGACTGATATTTGATGATGTCTTTTTAGCTTATCGACTTTTTATTTTAAAATGAGCTATAACTATAATTTCTTCATCTTACTTTTAAAGGGATTTTTTAAAGTTTGTGAATTGGACAATTACTTTTGACGTTTTGGTAAATTAAATTAGGCATAGGTAGTGAAGCTTAGTATGTTCTCATGAGTGACTATAATTTTCAGCGGTGTATTATGTTATCTTCAATTATAATTATATTTACTTCAATTATATTTTTTTCCTGTGTGGCAACTCCTTTTTCAATGGAGCAATGCACACAGTAGAATTCTTACACTTTGCTAATAAGTTTTTAAAATTAACGGGTGGGATTTTGTTTTGGTGAAATACAATAATATTGAAATTTCAGTTTCTTTTTAACTAAAATTTTGGCTCCTAAGGAAGTTTCATTTTTTCTAATTAATAACGACACAATTATTTTGACTCGCTCAATGATTAAAAATATTAAATAATTCATAAAATTGACATCATGATTCGTGCTTAAGTCGTCCGAACCACACATCATGATTTGCATTCACTTAAGTGGTTTATCACGATTTACACCTAATATTCATATGATTTATCCTTTTTGATTTATCTTATTTTCAAATTATCGAGTTTACTATTCATACTAAGCTAATTTATAAGTCAAACTAATTTACGAGTCACGCATACAGTCTATGGCTCCTCACATAGACCGCATTTCATATGCAAATTGCAAATTTCTTTTTTTATTCATGTAATTTCAAAATTACACTTTGTGATAAGTTCACACATTTGAAAATAACAGCACAATTCAAATTCACAAGACATAAAAATCTTATGGAATTGGTGTTCACACATTTTTAAAAGCCATTGTCGTCTTTTACACTCACGCAATTTAAATTAAATATCGCACATTTACGGGATTTATTGTTTTTCATGCATGTCAAAGATATTTAAAAATGTTTCATGTTTTTGGAATTAAATCATTCTGTTATCTATCAAGGGATATTACGATTTTGCAGATACTTTAAGATTGTTTTCACAGAGAGTTTATTTATTTAATTATTTTTGTTTTATTCTTATCCTATTTAAAAGAAATTTCAGGCTTTAAGATTTTACAAACAATAATTTTTTTTTTAAGAGAAGTTTTAATTTGAATTTAAAATGCATTATATAAATAATGTGTATGTTAAAATGTTTTTTTTTTTTTTCAAAATTATTATGTAATTAACTTTTAGTTAAACCTAAGCCAAAATACATTTACGAAGTACGTGAAAAAAAACTTGAACAGAAGCTATCGTCAACAATTTAATTTTTCAGAACGAGGTTTCAAGATTTTGCAAACATTGGTTTATGTATTTCAAAAAAAGACATTTTTACTTGAATTGAACATGCATTTCATTTATGATTCATGCATTTCTTTTCATTTAGAATGTTTTTGTTATTATTATGGAGTTAACTTTATTGAAACTGTTATTTAAACCTTTATCAAAATATAATTTGCATACCGTTTGCATGTCAATGTAACAAAAATGTAACAAAGACTCTGACTTTGAATTTATGAGCAATTAATATCCTAATATTATTTTTCAAACATTTAAAATTTACATTAGGAAGTATTCTTTGTATTTAACTTGGTTCTGTTTCCCTAAGTATTTGATTTTTTTTTATGAATTTTATAAATTTGGTATAGTTTAAGTTTTTATCCTGCTTATAATATACCAAAAATCCAAATTTATAATATGACTATAATACTTACTAGCTTTAAAAGAAGGAAAGAAGGCTTTTTTTGGAAGTTCTATTTTATGCATGCAAGATTTGTTGGATGGGATTCACCATCCGAACATTTTTGCATTTTTACGTGCCGTTGGTATTTTTAACTGCATATAAAAGTTTTAACACATCTACTGTTTTATACACTCTTATCACCTTTGCTCATTTTACTTAGTATTTCGCGCGTTTTATACTGTATTCATACTTTTATCTTGTTTTATTCACTTTGTACTGTTTTATCAGTTTTAATTGTGCTGCAATTAACATTCCGCATTCACTCATACGTTTGAACTGTTTCACCATATTGTTTGGCGCAGCATGTCCTCATTTGGACCTTGTGCCACTAAACCCTACATTCAATCAATCAATCAAGCTTTAAAAGAGATAATATAACCTTTTAGGCATCAAATTCAAAATTTAATTTTAAAGTCAAAATTTTAGTTCAAAAACAGTTGGTGTTTGAACATTGGTGTTTCGTTGGTTTTATATTTAGATTTCAAGTCCTTTATTTAGTTATGTTTTGTGTATTTTTTTTTTCGATTGGTGTTATGAAATTTATTCAAGATAAATAATGATTGTATGTATGGATAAAGGAAGATGAACGTGCTTAATATGTAAATGCTGATAAGGCAGTGATAGTGGTAGAATACTTCAAAAATTAATGCAAGATATGCACTCTTTCATACTCAGTCATCATGGTTTTGTTGACTATGGAAAGGAAACTTTTTCTGAAGATTATTGCTTTCAGGAGGCTGTTACACTTTTTTTTGTCATATTTGACAATGATAAGAGTTAAAATTTGATTCCCTACAATGGTTTGAAGTGATTCTTACTGATTCTTGTGATTTATTTATTTACTTCCTTGATAAATTTAAATTAACCATGTTGGCTAATAAGAAATTATGCCTTTTTTTTAAATTTATCTCATTTATAAATTTTGATTGTTTGAGGGGAATTAATTATAGACTATGTCAACCTTCATCTATCAAAAGGTACCACAAGGTAGAATCAAGTTAACGTGTCTTATACACTAGTGAATTGGTATTCAATATTTGTTACGCCACATTACTCCCCTTCTAGAATTTTATCTGTGATAGAATTCGATGAACAGATTCCACTAGTTGATTCATGCTGTTTATTTATTTATATCAATTTTTCCTCATTATATTTTCTTCATTTTTACCTTTAATTTTTGTTTATAGCATTTTGCTCTTTTTTTTTCTTCTTAATTTTTGTTTATTGGCCGGGAGACTTTACTTAACCAGATTTTTTCTTTGAGCAGTATATTTTTAAGCGAATCAACTGATTAATGTGCAGCATCCATCAATGTTGGCAAGTTCATATCACGTTCGCAGGTCACCAATGAGGGCAATTAATTATTGACTATGCCAACCTTCATCTATCAAAAGGTACCTTTAGATAGAATTAAGTTAACATGTCTTATACACTAGTGAATTGGTATTCAATATTTATAGTGGTAGTTACGCCACATTATCTTAGCACTATAAAGTCTAAAAATACTTTAAAAATATCTAACTAGCAAATGCATGAATAAAAGAAACATATAACGAGATCAATTAAAATATAGAAATGTTGATTTTTGAGAAGATAATTGTAGGGTTTCAGAATTGAAGACAAGGTGTTTTATGGTTTCAACTCAGATTATTATGTATGTTTGATTAGCACAAGACCTTTAAACTTCAATGTAGCTACTTTTAAGACATCTTTTATTTATATTCTTTTATTTGTTATACTGGTTTTTCCATTGGTTTCACCGTTTATTACAGTAGAGCGCCGATTATCCGAACTGCTCGGGACCGAATGTGGTTTGGTTAATTGGAAAGTTGTTTAAAATCTAGTTTAAATGATTGTTATTTATGCACCAACTTCCCTTCACACTTTTTTCAGGGTTAGTACTGGCAGTACTATCTAAAATAGCACTGGTGTGTTTAAATTTTTTTTTTTCATTTTGAATTTTTTTAAATCTTATTTCAGCTTTTTATAATTTACTGATTTAACATTTTTCTTTATTTTCCATTGCAAAGGAAATCCAGAAAAGACCTTTGTTTCAAAGAAAGTGTTCTTTTTTGAGCAGCCATATCCCTTATTCTTTTTAAATGAATCAACTGAATTAAATATGGTCTTCTGATGTAGTGGCTATTATTTATTTTTCTAAATTTAGAAAAATTTCCGATAAGTTAAAAAGTGTTCTAAAAAATAGTTCGGATAATCGGCGTTCTACTGTATTTGCAACATGGTTTAAGCTCAGCATAGTTTAGTTTGTTGTAGCTTTTGTGTGATTAAACTTTGTATTCAACCCTTTTTTAAGTTCCACCCTGAAAAATAGTAAATTATGCAAATTTTAAATTACCATTAATTTATTTTTTAAATAATTTAATACATTCCGTAAATACGTAATTCCATTTAATACGTAAAAGTTATATACATTTGTTGTTTACGCCATTAGAAATTTATATGCAAGGAAATTTAAGTTTTGTTAAATTTCCAAAATTCCTTTCAGATAAATTTTTTTTGTTTATGTCACTTTGAGATATATTCTGTTAAACATAAACTGGTGCTGATGGTATTAACTATCAACTGATATATCATTAAACTTCATAATTTCAAATAAAATTATAGAGTTTAATTAATTTTTAATAGTAATTTAGTAATTTTAATTAATATTTTTTTAATTAAAAGCATCTGGAACTAAATAATTATGTTCATATTTTATAGGCTATCTCGTGATTGTGTGCTACAGAATTGTTTTCATTAGAAGACAGGAACTTTTAGTATCCACTAAGGTCTATCTGTGACTGTCTCTAAATTTGGTCATCTAGTGAAAGATTATATGTGAATGGCTCTGTAAACCTTGACATCGAATGGAAATTTATGTGCAACTTTCTGTAAGTCTTTAAAATAATTAGAAATCTATGTGTGACTGTCTGTAAATTCTGGCATAAAGAAGGAATTTATATGTGGCTCACTGATAAGAAAATTGTTATTTTCTGTAAATTGTGACATCGAGTATAAGTCTTTGTGTGGCTGACTGTAAAATTTTGATATCTTGTAAAACTCAGATTGATTTTAAAAGCTGTAGAAAATGACCTTGCAATATGAGCAGTTTAAGAAGTTTGCATCTGAATTTGTATCAATATCATCAAATCTTGGTGATGAATGGGTTTTAAAAAGTATTAAAAAAGGTCCAGAAGAGGAGGTTTATTTAGAAAAACGAATCTTGAAACCTGACAATAAAGATAATGATATTCCCGATATTGATCGCAATGAAATCGAGCAAATGTCGTCGTTTAAAATATTTGTCTATCATATTATTTACAGTCAGAGTTATTCTGTCCCTGTTCTTTGTTTCAATGCAAATCATGAGGATGGTAAATTACTGTCTTTGGATGAAATTTGGAATGAAATACCCAAATGTTATGGCAATTTACCTGAAAATAAGTGGAACATGTTAACTCAGCAAGAACATCCTAAACTTGGAATACCTTGTTTTATGATTCATCCTTGTTATACAGCAGATCTCATGTCAGCCTGCAAATCTTCAAATTATATAATCAGTTGGTTAAGTATTATTGGTCCAATAGTTGGATTAAATTTATCCTTACAGTATGCCAAGTTTACACAAAAAATGTAGCCAACAGTTGTTCAACTTTTTTAATGTGAATTTATTTTACTCCACTGTGATATTTTTTAACAATAAATATGTGTTTTGAAGTTATATAATACTGTTGTAATATTGCTTATTGTTTTGTATTGTAAATTATGATTTAATAACAAATGTTTGGATTGGCATCCATTGGAGTTAAATCCTTGCTAGACTTGCAGTTATTGGGAACATTTTCATATCAGTACGTTTTTGGCACCAGCTACAATCACCAAAACGAAAAACTTCCAAAAAACTTTTTAACCTAGGGGTTTCTACAAATTATACCTTTTTAAATGGTCCCCTTCTGTGATATATATACATATATTTTTTTTTAATTTCTTGCACACCATAGTTCCAATATGAAAATCATCTACAATAGTTTTTTGCTGTTAGTTTGAACCACCATCAGCCAGGTATCACAGCAGTCAGCATGGATGTTTCTCTCTGTGTGTTGTCCTCTATTGTGCCAATCAATCCCTATGAGTTGCCTGTCGTTAGGAAAAAAAGTTTGGTCTCCCCAAAGCATAACACAGTATCCCTTGCTTTTTGACTCACCAACAAAATGTCATTTCTGTCAAATTTGATATCATTTGTAAGAGCACGAACATATCTTATATTATAAACTTGTACTTAAATCTTTAAAAAGAAATAAATAGTTTTGCACATTATTTACAAAAATATTGTTCTTTGATTACATGGTAAATCGAAATGTAAAATAAAAGCATGTTTTTTATTTTCAATTTAATACATTTGTAAACATTAAACTCCAAAATATCTTCTTTTTTTTTTTTTACATATTTTTTTACTTTTATGCATAAATCGCTAATAAACACGCAACTTATTTGTCGCTTTTAAGATTCATTTGTATTCATTCAGTAAACATAGCTGGTATTGCTAATGTTGTTGGACAAAGTAATAATTGTATTTTGAAAGAAAATAATACTATAGATTAGTGTTTATTCTTGATAAGTTTTATGAAATTTGTTTTAATTTCAGACAATTTTTCAAATTCTTCATAAAAGGTGTTAAGATTGATTCTTTTTTAAAAATATTATTCATTACAGTTAAAAGTGATTTCTTTTTTGCAGATGTCTGCAATATTAGCAACAACAAAAAAAAAACAATCCAATGACCATGAAATTCTTTCATCATGATGTCATATTCCATCAGTATAATGTGGTAAACAAAAAAAGAAAACATCTTAATATATGCTTTAATGCAAATTCATTTGAAACACTGGTAATCTGGAAGTTAACTATTCAGCCATTCAACTGGAAGCTATACCGAATTTAGGAGAATACTTTTTTGTGTGGCTTACTTTATTTCATCTTCATTAAAAATTATTCAGGTAGTGCAAAACTGTTTTGTACTCCTAACCTAAGACCTATAAGATTTTTATGAGCCAAAAGTCATTTAATATACTAGCTGAATACCCATGATTTGTACAGAATAAAAAAAAATTTAGTTGACATTAATATTAAACAGACAAATGCTGTGTTATAAACAACATGACACTTAAACTTAGTGTGTGCAATGCGGTGCATATATAGCGGCAATTATTCATTTGATTATCGTATTTCTGTTTTATTTGCATTTTATTTAATTAAAATGGTTTATATAAATACAATTAGCAGAATATCTGGTGGGTGGACCATAAAGGGTTAGTTTATAATCAACATGCAAAACTGAAAGGAAGACTGATAAAAATTTGAATTTCTTTTTGTAATTTTTTGTTGCCCTTTCTGGTGACTTTGTATGATTAGATAACCAAAAATATGTTTTTAGAAGTTCACCTCGCCATAAAGGGAGAAAAAAATACTTAGTATTATGTGGCCCCAAAAATTATGGTATTGATCACAACTATAAGTGGTTAAGTTACAATTTAAACAAATTTCCTTATATACTGGCACTTTAGTATAAAACATATATAGATAATTTTTAATTTCAATTACCATTGACTAAATGCCATCAGGATTTATAAAAACATGATTCAAAAGCATAAGTACAAACAAAACAAAAAAACTATAGTTTCAGATAGCTTTCAAAATTACAATTCTGTTGTTGAGCACTTATGTCATCCATCTTAATTATTATTTTTGAGATATAAAAAAAATCAATTATAGATAACACAGGGGAACAAATTTTCTTTCTTTTTCTGCAGCATGAGATTTTTTAACAAATCTCACTTTGGTATTGCTGATTTCAAATCGGCAATTGGATTCTCTCTCTAAGCTTAAGCTTTTTAAAATGAAATCTTTAGTCTTATTTTTTGTCAAAATGTACAAGTTTAAAAACTTTATAAATAGCAGGAGGTCACGTAAATATTCCAACAAACTTCTAAGGGAGTAAGGCACATCATCAGGATTAAAATTGCAAAGGAACCTTTGTCTGAAAATGACGTCTTACACTGTAAGGGGCACTACCCTACTATGAACACTTTCTTTGTTTTGCTTCTGAACAAAGCTATAATATGGAAGCGTCCCTAGCCTCGTACGAAGACATTTTAGGACATGGCTTCCTACGCTATTTTAATCATGATTTTCCCAAACTCCCATAAATGTTTGTTGCAACATTTACAAGACATCCTGTTATTTGTTTTTAAAGTTGTACATTTCGACTAAAAATATCATTTTAAAACTAAACTAGCTTTATGTGCAAAACTAATTTCAAATTTAAAATCCCTGCACCTGAACTAGGCAAAATCAAGATTTGTCTAAATGCAACAAAAAAATTGTTCCTCAAAATTAGTAATTATTTAATGACTTGTAAGCTAGTTTAATTGAAAATATTTGATCAGTAAAAAGATAACATCATTAATGATGTTTCTGGAGTTATAATAGACATACAAAAATGTTTTATCCTTATAGATTTGTTTTACAATTGAAGGTAAAAATTAAGATTCGTCACATCACTTATGGTAAAAAAAAAATTGTCATAAAAAGGATTTCTGTTCATAAAAAAAAGGGAAAAATCCTTTGTTTAAAAATATTATGCAAACTTGAACCTGAGGTGAAAACCTACTTTAAACCAAATCAAAGTATTTTATTTTTAAACTAGTGCCCTTTTCAACAAAAAAAGTTTTCTTTGTGGTTAAATTTGTAAATAGTGCATAGCAGGAAAATTTCTGAATAATTTATAGAGATACAATAAAAATTGTGATTTGGCCAAAAACCAAATATTTGATTATTCACCACCAAATAGTGAAAAAATTTTGTCAATTAACAGAGTAGAGTATGAATTCTAATTATAATTCTTGTCTATTTAAAAATTAAAATACATGAATGTTAATTAGAAATTATTAAGGAGGCAAATTTTAAAAGCATTAGATAAAACTTTAGAAAATTTCGTCTGAAAGGTAAGAAAAATTGAAAATCTGTTTTAAGCCAAATTTCATAATCAAAATTCTGTTCTTAAGGTCTGATAATCAGATCATTGGTGTAGCGTGAGGGGGGTACACTTTGTGTTTTTAGAAAACAGTTTGTTGATTTTAAGTTTAATGTATACATTCATATAAAAATATGCATATATACATAGCACTTAAAATAAATGAAGAGTTTTTTATGAGTAAAAAGTGTGCCCCCCTCACACTACACCTATGGGTCTGAATACATAACACAGATCATTTGCTTTTAATTTAAGGGCACTTATGGCTACAGTTTGGAGACTAGATATTGGATCGCCAGAGAACCCATAGGTTAATGATTTCGGTCATTTTTCTTTTTAACTTTTTGTATTTTGTTTTCTTCCCTTTAGTATTGCTTTGCTATTGGAAATATAAAAAAAAAAGGTCTTAAGCTAGTAATTTTGCAATGAGTTAAAAAAAAAAGGAATAATTAATAATTATTTTGTGATAAAAAAAATAAGACAAAGTTTAAAATTATTCGCAGATGGGTTCTCGGGTACTGCATCATTACAATTTAATGAAGTGTTTTTTGTTTAAAAATTATCACTTTTTTTAACGTGAGAAAGTGTCATAACAAATTGTTAATGTTTAGCTAAAAATGAATGCTAATTCCAAAACTATTTCTATATACAGTCAAACCCGCTATAGTGAACTCCCGGATATAGTGAACGAAATGTTCAGTCCCGTGCCTTGCTATACACATATGTTATTTCTTGTGGATATAGTGCACCAAAAAAATGAGGAAGTTGGATATAATGAACTTTTTTCTGTCTTCGACTGATTTTTTTCTTTATTTTCTTGGTAATAATTTTGAAATTTCTACTTCAAAATAAATACATATACCAATGTTTAAAACCATCTATAGAGGGGAATACAGCGATAAGCATTATTTCTTGCTTGCTTCTTTTATCTCACTTTCCAATCCCTAAACAAACCAAGCAGATGTTTCCAACCCAGGCGGACCTGCAAGGTGTCAGTGGGGTCAATGTGCATTTTCTGTCAGAGGGAATGAGTAATTATTCATTATTGGTCAAAGGGTTGAACACTAATATGTGTTGATAAGGCCCTCATTTCAACTCAGTTCAGTTAAAAAAAAGTCTGCAAACAAGTGTCTCAAATTTAACTATGGCGACCAGTAAACGTAAAACATTCTCCGTTGATGATAAAATGAGCATAATCAGAAAAATTGAAAATGGATGCAATCAAGTTAATATTTTCAGGGAATATAAACTATCCAAATCTGCAGTTTGTAGCAAATGGAAAAATAGACAATTGATAATTTCTGCTCATGAAAAAAATTTAGACGGCAGAAAAAAGTTGAGAAAAGCAGATCACAAGGCTGTTGAAAGAAGCATTACTGAAGTGGTTCACCATTCGAAGAAGCCGCAATCTTCCAGTATCTGGACAAATGTCGATGAATTTGTTAAGCGATTTTATGTGCTCGAATGCCAGGTTAGACAGGTTTAAAAAGCAGAATAACGGAAATTAAGGAAAAATTATCTGAGAGGCAGGAAGTGTTTCCATATCTGATGTCGAAGATTGCTCATAAGCAAAAAATTTTAAAAAATTTCTTTTTTTGCACGCAAGACGAAGAGTAATGAAAATTAACACATTTTTTGCTACTACATAATATTTTTCAGTCATTTATTTGAATAATGTGTAATAAAAGGGAGGAGTTTGGGACCCATTAGTTAAATTGCCTGCGTAACGGATATAATGAACTCCCGGTTATAGTGAACCAAAATTTCGGTCCCTTGAAGGTTCACTATAGCGGAGTTTGACTGTATATGCAAATTATAGAAGTATGGCCTAGTATTCATTGGACAAGCCACATTTCACAGTAAATCTCATTAAATATTTTATTTATAATTGATACATGAAAGCTAACATATTAAAAATATTTTCTTTAATGAATCATCGTGCATTTTTTAGAGAAGGTTTAAATCAAGTATTTGATAGACCAGCCCAACATTAGTTGCATCTCTATGATTTTAAACAGTCGTTAGCTTAGAGGATTAATTGCATTGTATGTAATTCATACTTCAACATCTTATAGACATTATTTTATTAGTAATTTGTAATGTCAGAACATAATGTTTATGTCATATAAATATATGTCTGTCAAAATAATTAAAAAATATTTCATCGATTTATAATTTTAATTTTTTCAACTAATATTGAATGTAATTTTAATCCTTAAATTACTATAATTTTTCAGGAAGTACATTAAATAATAAAAATGAGGGGGACTATGAAAATGACTAAATATTAATTCACATCTCCACAAAAATAAGTTTGCATTTGTACTTACATCATATTATGTTTATGTTGTAATTACATTTACATTTCACATCAAACATATAAAATTATCTGGGTTAAAAATATCTTAAAGTCTAAAAGGAAATTACAACAAAAAAAATAATGTTTTTTTTATATTTTTTATGTTTTTCTTATAATTTAATGTATTTGATACTTTAAGTGCATATTTATAAAGTTTTGAATGTAATTTGATGAAATAAAAAAGAAGTCATACATATAACTTAAATTTAATAAAACAATATATTATGTACATAGAAAAAAACCAAATAATAAAGTCACTCTATAAATAAGAGTACAGGCATTGGTTAATGAAGTGTAAAAACATATCTTCATTTATCTTGACATTAAATAAAGTTCTACTTCAAAAATGTTAATTTAACATTTCTAAATAAAATGTCATTTTTTTAGAGTTCAAAAAGTTACAGTAACAAACTATTTCACATTACACACTCTTAGACTCTTAATCTCAAAACTTTGGCTTATCAGAATTAATTCAAAAATTTCACTAATTTATTTAAGAGTCAGGAGAATATAGTTGCACCAGTTAAAACATTTCTTTAGCACCCTTTCAGTAATACATCAGCATTCAATGTTTTAGCACATTTCATTTAATTTTAACAATTTTATTTTGTCAACAAATTCCACTTCATATTTAACAACAATATACAATTTTTATAACAATGAATTTACAAATATTTCAATATTTTTGTAACAAATAAAATTTACCATGAGATTCATCAATATGGTACGGAATATTGCCAGCTTGTTCAACTTTAAAAAATTTAATAATCACTACATCTCCATGGAATGCAAGTTAAACTAGTGAAACTTTTCAAATTATATACAAACATGCAGAAATAATTTTAATAAAAAAATGTTCAAAACTAATAAGTGCAAATTTTTCCCTATTAGCATTAATAAATAATACAAAAGCAATTCAATTAATATATTTATGATTTTAGTTCAAAACTAGGGTCAAAACCTTCAAAATGTACTGTATTTAAACCTATTAACATCTTTGTGTTAGGATACATTTAATATCTAGAACTTATAGCAAATACATATCCCATAACTAACCCACATAAAACTAGCCTCTTTTTAAATGAAAGATACACATCAGGTATTTATTTTTTTGAATGTTATAGGAGGAAAGTTTTTACTCATATTAGATCTTCAGGTATTGCAATAGTATCATATTAAAAAAAAACGATGCTTGAAGACTCATGTGGAGATCGCCAAAAGAAAGATAAATAACTATCGGGAAATATAAGGATTCTCGATAACAAATAGAGAGCATCAAGAAGTGATAACTTTAATTCGAAATTCACATGTCGCAATAGCATTGCACCATTAAAATATCGGAACTTTAAAATATTGTGAGGAAAAAATAATAGAAAATTTAGACTATCCGATGTTACTAGCAATTTTTGGTATTGCGTTTTTCTGTAACTAGCATTTCTTTTTTTTTTTAACTAGCGATTTGCGACTTACTAATCGACAAAATTGCTCCCTTGGGATGGCATTCACGATTCTGTGGTGTATTTATCATATTATATAGCTATATATGTAACTCAAATAAAGTAATGATTTATCTTTACTTTTTTCATAGTGGGACTAGTTTTATGTGGCAATACTTGAACTTACGTTAAAAAAAACAATCTAGTATATTGGAAACATTTTTAAAATGTTAACATATGTACAGACATAAAAATTTATATTTTTCAATTTGACTAGCAGAGACACAAGTAAAATGTCGAGAATTATAAAGAAAATTTTAAAAAAGGGTTCATAATGGACGTTCAAAGGATCAGCAAAGTTCAACATTTATAACAACAATTGTGACATATATGCTATAAAGATTTATTTAGAAAAAAAAAATTATCTAGCAATCATTTCTAAAAACTGTGTAGTTTTGTTAAAATAAAACTAAGCAGCAGAAAAAACTTTTAAAAAGCAATATTTCCTGATACCCAGCTAAAATGTTATCTTAAATGTTCGAAAAATGCACACTACATCAAAACTTATATAATCCCATCCAATTATGCCTCATGGACGGCTAGCTTTATTTTTTTTATTTTAAAAAATTTGATTGTGCACCTTAGTGAAATACAATCCAGTTCTACAGCAAGATTTTTTTTATTTAAATACTTCACCTACAAACACAGTTAAAGCTTGCACAGATTGTTTTGGTAACAATGCTTTTCTTCCAAGCATTAACATCAACATTCTATATTACAACACAAACCTATGGAGTGTTATCAGTTGATATTTTCATTTCAAAACATGAATGAAGATAACAACTTCGTGGACATGTGATATGACACCAGGTTCAAATCTAGAGAAAGACATTTATGGTAGGAAGACACATCACTGAACATTAACTTTATTCTTAAGAAACTCAAGTTTTCCAGGAGGTTGGATGTCCCGAGGGGAGAGCCTGAATTTGTAGATCTGCTCAAAGTTGCCTTCGTCACTTGAAAGAGTCGTGTGACTTTGCTTCAATGTTTCCAAGAAATGGCCTATGTGTTTGAAGCTCTTCTCTGTGTTGTGGTTGGCATCAGCATCACCATTCTCAAGCATGATTGTTAACTTTTTATTTATCTCCCACTGCTCTGCCAACTGCAAGAGATAACACTAAGTAAAATAATCTTTCAATAATAGTAATAGGACGATTCCATCATTTACAAACATTATATTTGCACATTGCAAGTTACTAAAAATTGGAGCAAGTATAAATGACTTATCTTAACAAAAATTTTTAGGACTGCTTGATTTTTTTTTTTTAACTAAGTCTTGTGCTTTTAAATTTTGCGAATATAACATCCGAAATGGTGGAATTACCCAATATCAAAATTATTTTTGTAACATTCACATCTGAAAATAAACTTTTATAAATGAAAACAGACCTTTTTTTTCAATACTTACAGTTTTTGTAGATAAAACGAATCTTATTTCCTTTATCTGATTGTAAACTCTTAGAGTTAAACATTTGTAAAACTCAGAACGAAAGAATTTAACCAGGGATTTATTCAAAAGAAATAAAATATCAAATTTATATTACATAATCGATTCACTATCTACACAGCACTCAGATATTCTTCAAATTTGAAACATTGTTAGATTTAAATTATATATTGTGGTTATAAATAATGCATGACCATTAAAAATTATAAGTTTTTATGAGAGTTACATTGTTACAAAGTTAACTGAGGTAAAACCTTAACTTGAAACCTAATTTAAACTGACTTCATAATTTATAATTAATTAGCTGAATGTCAGTTTTAAATTACAGGCAAAAAAAATCACTAAATCAAAATTAGTACTGAACACTATACAAAATCATAAACAAAACTAAAAAACAAATGCTAACACAATTAATAAAGCTAAAATAACTTCAATGTCATTTTTATTTACCATTATTCCTTATCCTCTTTGGTGACTTCAAGTTATTAAATCTAGCAAAACCCATTTTTAGTAGCTCATCCCATGTAAATAAAGATTTAAATTTATTCAGTATAATAATGCTGTTCATAATGCAGTTCATAATGCTGTTGCTCGAGGCAAACTCCTAAATTTACCACAATCAAGTAATTTTTTATTGTACTTTTTTGATAGGCTGTAATAAATCTATTTTTTCATTATCTATAATAAAAATGCACAGTATTTCTGCAGTTTTAATAAGCGCCAAATTTACTCATGAAATACTTTTTACCTATACAAATATATTTGGTATGTATTAAAACTGGACCAATTACCATAACCCCATTATCACATATTACCAAAAATAATTAGCATCATTGGCATCAATAATAGAATGGCATTTTTTAAAAAAGAATTAATACCATTTCTCAATGACTGTGGCTTTTCAATATGCAGCTTATTTTTTGTATTTTTGTTATCACTTATTATTCAATTTATTTGAACATTTCATTGACATCAAAAATGGTATGTAGATTTTTTTACTTTTCTTCCACACAAAAAATATGCACCATTTCTTCATTAAGTTTGTTTAGTACAAAAATGAATTAGTACCATTTATTCATTTCTTTTGATTTTAATACAATAAGAAAAACAAAGAAAAATTTACTTTTTCTTGCAGTGATGTAACCCTGCCACATAGCATTTTGACGTCTTCACTTTCTGTGGCAATTTTTTCTTGATTTATATCAGTCAACTCTTTTACCTGAAAAAGTAATTGAGAAATTAATAATAATTATTGCAAAAATCAGAATTTTGCATTATTTAATTAATCTCTTCCATGGCTACAAATTCAATAAGTTAAAACCATTGCATAGATACAGTCAAACTCCATATAGATAATAAGATATAGATAATAAATACAAAAATGACAAATTAGTAAAATAATTTTTACATTCTATGGAAGAAATAAGTACTTTTCAATTGACTGCTATTCGATTTAAGAAAACTTAAGTTAACCAAGTTTTGTATCAACAACTAGCAAATAATCCAATATATTTTAGTCCTAATTTTCACCAAGTGAAGAAACAAATCCAGCAAGTTCACTTCTTAAAAAAATATAACCAATCCCAAACTTACTTTAATCCTTTGCAGAATTTTAGTTAATCACATTTTTCATACTTTTTATTCACAATTTTATATTAATTTAAGTCAAAATAAGTGAAAAATATTATAATTAGAATTTAAATAATTTATGATTATAAAATTGGGTTAGATAGGCACAGATGTGAATCTTGGCAAGTACAGCTCACTTCCAAACAATAATTTTTAAAATTTGCTCATATTTAGATCTAAGAAAAACAGTAATTCATTATTGAAATGAAAAGTTAGTTTGCAAAATCAATTATTAATAAATTTTTGAATATGAATGAAAAAAAAATTTTAACTACTTTTTTGGATTTTATATTAAATACAAATACAATTCCAATAATCTAACATACTTTTTTAGTAATTATTAGACTGTCTTATATTATTAAAAAATACCAAAATATCACTTTACTTGTAATTATAGAGTAAAAAAATATATTAAAGGGACATTGCTGTTCCATGTTCACCAAACAGTTAAGGTACAAACTTCTCACATTTTTGCAAAGGAAACTAGTTCTGTCTATTTCTATGAAAAAACTATGTCCGGAAATGAAATTCTTGTAAAAATTGTCCATGTAGAAACGGTTACAAGATAAAAAGCAAATTTACAAAAACAGAGAAACTATTTTCCTGTCAAACTTCATCGAAGTAAAAAATATTAGCATTGTCACCATACATACTTGATTTTCCAGAAGTGTTAGTTTTTTCTTAAGATCAGAGGTAACATTCTTCTGTTCCATCTCCATTTTCATGTTCTTTAACTCACTTTCATTCAGCTAAAAGAAAATTTGGCTTTTAATGTGCGAAGTAAAATTATCTGCTCTAGTTGTAAAACTTGAAATTCTAAAAGTGAATATTTCAAACATTTTTTAAGAAAATGCCAAGATAAAAAGAAAAGTGTAGAAATAGAAATCTCAAAAAGAAACAGGGAAATTTGACGAGTGTTTAAAAAATGTATATAAAAAATTTATAAATAAAAAAATTGCTAAGACACTAAATATTAAAAATTTTATTTTGCCAAATAAATTTTAAGTATGTACCTTTTTCTCCAAGTACACTATCCTCTGTTGAAGTTCGGTAACATTGCTACCTTTACGAAGAGAGTTTTCAGAGACCTTGGGTTCCTCATGATTTGCAGTCGAATTAGTGACACATTTCTAAATTTAAAAAATACATTGTTTCAAAATAGGTATTAAGATAATACTTTGATTATTAATCAATATGCATATTTTACAGGCTAATCGGAAAAATTCAGCTTTTTACAAACTGCTAAAATCAGTTGTTAAGCATATTGAAATGAACTTGGTAGGCACATTTCAAAGAGCTAAATTTTCCAATTACCTTTACAACACAAACACAAGGATACAACTCTTTCTGCAAACATAAATATTAAAAAATAAAATTATTTTATTTATTCTTATGAATAATTATTCATTATTTGATAAAAATTAAAAAAATTTTACTGTTATGTCAAAAATTTTAACAAATTTTCAAGCAGCAAACTTTATTATAGTATTTTATAGTTTTTTAATAAACCTTATTATGTAAACATAATTACTTATTATTAGTATATTAATGTAAACATAAAATACTAAAATTAAACTTAAAAACTCTTTTAAGTGAAAAAAATTAGGAGCTATAATAAGGAAATTTAACAACCACAAACTAAAAAAATATAATTCATGCTATCTATATAAATATAATTCATTTAGATAATTTAATTTAAATTACTTTTATTGAAAATTTTTGGATATTACAAATATCACAAGAATCACTTATTTTCCTAGAAAAAGCCTCAGACATAACTAGTTTAATGTTACTGAATATATTGTTTTGATATTTTGCTTCAAACAGAGAAACAGCACTAGTTTTAAGTCTACTATGAAAAAAAACATTGTAAGTAAAACCCCAAACTAAAGAGAAATATCAGAATAGAATAAACTATAAAGAGAATTTTTAAAAAATATAATAAATTCTTTTTTCTTTCTTTTTTTTATTTTTATAGATCACAACGCTTTTCATTTCTAACCTATGTTTCACAGATCCTTCAGTATGCAAATTTTACATTTCAATTTAGAAAAATTTGAATTCTCTTATTTTTCTGATAAACTGTTTCAAATAAAATATAAATTTGTCAAGTAAAGTAGAGATAGATACAGACATACTATATAAAATTTTGAAGATTATATTTAAAATATTCAATTTAGTAAGTGTCATTAAAATTTGCTTATTTTTTAGACAGTTTTTCTTTTTAATAAAAAATATAAAAGATATAGAAAATGATAATTTAATTCTTACAATTTGTTGCATCATCTAAAACAAATTTTTCAAAAAGTTTTAGAAAGATGGCCAAAGCAATATAAAATATACTTTCACAAAGCTGTTTTAACTAAAATTTAAAAATTAAAGCAAAAAAAAAAAACTTACAACAAGTTGATTTTGTAGGTCATTAATCTTCTGCAAGAGTTCTTTAATGTACTGTTGAGCTTCAGCTTCTCTGAGCTTAACAGCAATCAGTTCTTCTTGAATATGGATGATTGTGTTTTCAGGATAAGCTTCCTTCAAACATTTATTCACCTAAAATAAATATTGCAGCACTTATACTTTTTCAATGTATGAATAATTTATACATAGAAAGTTTTGCAAGTATTAAAAATCGCTAAAGAGAACAACTAAAATTACATACATCCTAAAAATAAATTTGCTAAAGCTAATACTGTATGTTAGTTATATACTAACACAAATATTTTTGAAATTTAATTATTGAATGATCAGCATGAGTATATAAGTGTCAAATAGTGAATAACATGTGTTATTAATTTTAATATAAGCAATAGTTATACAAATAAAAACAAACACCCTTAAACTATTTTTGTCTCATGATCAAATTTTCACTGACTAAGCTACAATCTTAACGGCTTGATACAAATCATTTATGCTAATTAGTTAGTCAATTATGCTCCCATAATAAATTTAGTCTCAAATAAATTTTTTTTAAATAACAACTTTTTAATGAATTCCATTTCTCAATCCTCAAAATGTAAGTTGCAATAGATTAGTTAAGAGAATCATTGAAACTAAAGGGAATGCTATTTTTACTTTTTAAATTGTTAGGCATGCTTCTTGAACTAATTTCTAAGATTTATTTATTCTTCATAAAGTTAATTTCATGCAAAAATAATACAACAATTACTAACTTGTTTTTAATTATAGAGGAAAATCCTTATTATAAGATAAAAAGAACTTTTAACACCCACTTAATTATTTTTGATCACAAAATTTTATTTCAATTTTCCCAACCACTTTAGAAAAATAATTTCATTTATACAAAAAAGTTGCATTGATATTGAATCACATTAAATTAAATAAATTTTTATTAACACCGTGGCGAATATTTTTCAATAATTTTATTTTTCTGTTGTTTTAGAAGGTTCTAAACACATCTATAAAATATTTGTAATTCAATTGGGGTAAATAATTTCTGTTGAGAAATTTTCAAAACACGCTAGTGTGCAAAAACTACACGATTAATTTATGCATCAAATGCGAAGTCCATTCGCATTCCAAATGCTTCGAATGTTTCCACTAAAAATATAAGCTTTGAACTAAACGAATTGTTCATTGATCTGGCCAATGGTGCGAAAACGCACCAATTTATTTCTTAAATAAAATATTATTTTTTGTTTTAATGAATATAATTTAAACATATTTCAATGAAAATAATACCACATTTTATAAAATTTCTATGCTTGGCTTAAAATGGGTTAACTTACGTACAATTTAATCTAGAAAATTCATAAATTCTTCTAGATACAATTGTTACCTTTACTGTTTCAAGATTTAAATAACTATCTAAACATTAAACCTAAACCATTTATTATCTCTCACAAATAATGATGAAAATTATTTATTCTTAAATCAAAGTACTGTTGAAAGTAAAAAAAGAAAAACTAACTGATTCTAGCTCATTAATTCGATGCAACAGATCTTGCATCCTATCTTCCTTCTCAGCTTCTCTTAGTTTTACAGAAATCAGTTCTTGTTGCATTGATTGAATCAGATCTTCAGCCTGTTGATCAAGGGATGAATGCTGAGAATTGGCCTGAAAAATAAAATAAAATATAAAATGTATACCATGATAAGTATAATTACATTTTCATATTTAAACACATTGAAGAATAATGAAAACTAGGTTACTAATGAATAATAAAAAATTTATTAACACAGTTTTAAAAAAAATTCTAGGAGAAGAAGTAATGTATGATCCAAAAAACATTTTTAAGATAGATAATTAAACATAACTACTCTCTTCAGTAAAAATAGAATTTTTCTTTTAGGAAAAGATGGATAAATTTAAAGGTTAACCAATTTTCCATTATTTAAAAACTAAAATATCTTAGTTAATAATTTTTCAAGAAATATAATCATTAATTTCTGTTAACAACCTTATCATACGAACAGAAATCTACTTTTTGAGATTTATTTCACATTTGCTGCAATCTTTTGTCTTTATAAAAAAAATCATTATTTCTTATAACTACCAACACATTTTAAATTCAAATGCCAAGAAATGGATAAAAAAGATTTAAACTTGAGGTGTCTTGCAGCCACATTTTCTGGGTCATTTCTTAATTCATTATTTCATTGTTTAAAGAAATCATTTTGTTCAAGAATGAATAAATAAAAAATAAAATTAAATATAAGCATCTTCATAAAAAAGTAATACCAGTGATCATAACTAATACACTACAATTAATAAAACTACTGTAGTCGCTAATTTTTTAAAAAAAAAAAGTAGTGTAGTGAGATACAAAAATCACTTGTTTGTTCTGAGTCCTGGACAAATACTTTTAATATTAATTTGAAACAAGGTTCAATTTCATCTAGTTTTTTGAATCAGATCAATTCAAATCTTACTCAAGTCTGTCAGTGTAATATATTTTGCTCTATAACTCTACATTATAACCTCTTAAAAGAAATCTAAGAGTTTAGACACTTAACACAATCATAAATATTTGAACATTTTGTAAAATTCCTTGAACTAAATAATCAGGAACAAGAAAGCAGAATGAGGCATAAAGAGTTAAAATTAGAATAATAAATTGGCTCATATAAACAAAAATTAGATATTTCTTAATAATTTCTTTTGTTATTAATCTAAACTAATTTTTTTTCTTTTTCTTTGTATTTTCAACTTTTTCTTAATATTGAGCAGGAGTGAAAACTTAATCCTTCATAATTTATCACCTATATTTTAAAAAAAAAAAAACAGATATAGTTAACTACATTTACTATAAAGTAGTTAAAGTTAACTGCACCCTTGACCACTGGGTAATACTAAATTTTCAACTGCTATTTTGAACCAGTTGGCTACACAATAGATGTTAAGAGGCAACAGAAGTAAACTTAGTAGGTAAAATTTAAGTGAATATGAAAATCACTAGCAAGACTTATAAAAATGAAATATTCAAGAAAGAGAGATTACATCGTCAAGCTCTTTAATTTTTCTCTTTGCTCTCTCCAATTCCTGTTCTGTTAGCAACTGTGTTTGTTTCAGTGATGCTAGCTCTCTCTTTAATGCGTAACTATCTTCTGCTTCCTGAGCTCTAGTAACCTGACCCTGGACAAGGCGATCGGCCAGCGATGCACTCTCCTGGAAAAGCATTAAAATAATTGTAAATACTAATTAAATTAGTTCTGTTCTATTTTAATAGAGTATTTCTTACTTTGTAAAATTAGTTAAGAAGGTTACAGAGATTAATAATATCAAGAATGATTTCTAAAACCATTAAAAAAAATTTATTATTTTTCAAATAAAGCAATAACCGTAATACTTGGAACCAGATTAATGATGGTAAAATTGGTTTAAACGTTAATATACTACCCATTTTAATAAAACTATGCAATGTAATTATTAACCAGACTTAGATATTTCCATTACAGTATCAAAATATAAAAAATTTAAATAAAAGCATTAAAAAATAAATTATTAAAATATAAAAAATTCCAAAATAAGGATTATAATTATAAAACTAATTCAAACTATAATTATACCAAGATTTTTTTTCCAGCTTTCATAACCCAGTAAATATTAAAATGGCAAAAAATACCATTTTTATGTTACATAAAATCAACACATCAATGACAAACTTACTTTTTATATGTACTCTAACACTTCAAACTAAATTTGACAAGAAGGGTAAAACCAAAAATGTGAAATTGAAAAAATGCAATTCGGCTAGCATTTTTAAAAAAGGTAATTACATATTGAAACATTTAGGATTTTAAATTTAATAGAAATGTTAACAAACAGCAATATAATGCGTTCCTTACTTGCCAGCTTATTTTGATGCAAAGTAAATAAACTATAATTCATCACTTAGTTACAATAATTGGAATACATAAGACTATTCTAAATGAAACAATCAACAAATGAGACACTTATTTAAGCAGAAAAAAAGAAAAGATTATAAATGCTGATATATTTTATAAATTACACAGGCAGCAATAGAATATACTTCCAAAAAAAAATCATGATTTTCAATAAAATACCATTAAGACTAATCGTTAGTAATCAATTTATAACTCTGATAGAGTATTTATTTTTAATTTAAATGAGGTTTAAAGTTGTGAGAAATTATTAACACTGCTTCAAAATTAAATAAATTTTTTAGTGACTAAATTAAGAAAAGAATGCTAAAAAATTTTACTTGCACATCAGTCTTCCTTTTTTATCAAATAGATAATTTAAAAAAAAGATTTTTTTTTTTTTTTTAAAAAAATGTAATTACCAATTCTAAGTTTTCTATCCTTTGTCTCAAAAGCTTGTTTTCTGTTCTTAACCTCTGTAACAAAAACAAATACTTCACATTATAATATAGAATTAAAACAAATTTTTCTTTCAAGTTGAAATTTTTTTAATACATTATAAAAATAAGTTTTAAAAAAACTTACTTTTATAACGATAGACAAAATATAGATATAATTTTGATATCAAAATATAGATATAATTTTGTGAACATATTTCAGTTGAACATAACCGTCAAAGTATCAGAACTAATACTTAAATGTAAAACACAGTTAAAAAAAAAAACATTTTTAACAAAATTACCTCTACCCCAAGTCCCTAGTACAGTGTACTACTTTTACATTGAACAGCATAAATTCTATGAATCTTTTATATACATTTCATCCTAACACAAACATAAAACAAGACTGATAATATTCAAGTCATTCAAATTAGAAATGAAATTCTATATGTTTACCCTAAGCTCTATCATTTCTTCTTGCTCTTTTGCTTTATATGATGTATAATCTTTTTCTAATCTAAAAAAAATATTACAGGAATTAAATTTCAGTCTGAAAAAAAATTACAGACTAACACAAACAGATGGCCATAAGTTACAACTACTTTATGGCAATCACAAAGCTAACAGTTTTTCTGACTTTATGAAGCTAGTACTCAGTGAGACTTGTAAAAAAGATTGAAACATGAGGAATTAATTATTTGGGGGCAATTTGTGACACATTTTGTCTAAATAAAACAGCTGTTATCAGAACATGAAATAAAAGTTTTCAAACCATACCTATTAATAAATACTTTTCTCATTGCTTTCATTTTATACTTTATTTTATATGAAACTCAGCTGATATGTATTTGTCTGATACAGATTTTAAAATATTTATCTAAATATATATACTTAACTTTTAATGGACTGATTCTAAAAATTAACAAAATAAACAAAGGAAATATATTAAGTACAATTTCATGGAAAAAAAACTATTCTCATTAATTTTGTTATGAAAAATTTTGATTTAAAATGATGAAAGATATTTCAGTTACAAATAATATCATGTTAATGCCAACCTTCAATAATTAAAACTAATAGATGTAATACTAATAACAATGTTAATTGCAATAGTTAATACTAAAAGCATCAGCATAAAATTATTTAACTCAGCAGAGTTAATTATCAAAACAAACAAAAGATGTGCATTGATTTATGGAAAAAATTGAAATTTCTTAGTAGACATACGTTGAAAAAGGAAAAAAAGATTTACGGATTTAAAATATTCAGTCAGGATAATATTCATAATATGCATGGATTTACTTTCTAACCATGCTTTAATGCTTGCTGCAAATTTTTATAAGAGATTTCGGAATAAATTACCACGAATAGATAAAATTCAAGGTAACCATAGCAAATGCCATAACCTCCATTGTGATAGTGAAATCACTATGCATCTTTTAATGATAAACATAATTTTTTTAAAGTTAGCGTAATTACTTATATTTTTCAAGAGTTTTTTTTCTGTGTTAAAACACTTACCAATTTAGCTGTTTGTGTTTGTAAAAATGGTGGTACAAAAGTTTCAACTAGAAAAATGTTTGCCATACTTAATTACAGCAAGAAAGTTGCTCTAAAAATGATTAGTAAGTAGCTTATTAATGTTCCCATACATATCAAAGCAAAATTTTATTAACCATACAAAATAAATTCCCCAATTAAGCTTTATATTTAGAGAATGTTTTCAAAGCAGTTTTGATTACACTAAATATTTCTAAACTACAGTAATATAATATTTCATTATTACTAACGACAAGAAGAAACGGCACTGTCATGTAATGGAACGCATCTGGAAAATATGATATATTTTTGAGGTAGCTAAAATATTAAGAAAACAAAATATAAAATATTAAGAAAATGGAATAAAATTTTGAGAAAAATGGGAATAATAAATTAAATATGAAATAAGCAGTGGAACAAAGAACTGTTTTAAAGATATTTAATTTAGTTGATTCGATTTCTAAAATTCGTTAAATTTTCTTTTAAACTGTTGAATAACTTATTTGTCTTAACTAGATTATATTTTTATTCTCAATCCTTTATTATTATTATTTTTCAAAATGTCCTTAATTTTTTTTATTTGCCTGTTGAATTCATCTTCAAGATCCATTAACAAGATTTAGAAACAACGAATTTCATTCTCTGTTTTTAGTTTCAACCAACACAACATTTCAAGGACAAAGTGTCTTCAATATTGCAAGTGAAGCAAGAATGTTTGTGCGCAAAAAAAAACCAAAAACAATTGATGAACATATTTTCACACAAAAGAAAGATAAAAACTATTTTAAACATATAAGTTTAAATATGGATTATCTATTTATCAATAAAAAACATAAATAATGATATTAAAGAAAGTAATAAAGCTTTTAAAACAATAAAATGCCCCATTCTCTTAAGTATTTCATTTTTTAAGCCAATGCATCGTCACATTACAAAACTATAGTAATATTAATTTCAAAATAATTAAAAATGGAAGCTAAAAATAAAACAATTGCTAACGGATTAAACAATTTGGTCTTAAGAAATTTTAATAACTAAACAGAGAATTTATACTATAGAACCTAAGATATATTACAATCAAGTTTGAAGAATACATTATGATCACTTGTTTGAATAAATAATTAATATTGCAAAACATAATTAAGTTGATAAACAAGTTTATAATATTTATTAAAAAATTCACAAAGTGAAAACTGTTCAGAGTACATTTTGAAGAAAAAGAAAATTATTAATAAGGAAACAAAATAATTTAAAAATATTTTACTTCACACATAAATGAAGATTAAAGAAAGTTTAAAGAAAACTATGAAACTGCAACATTTATAATGGGAAAATAACAACATTGAAATTATAACAATAGCATCTTACTTTTTCATTTTCTTACAACTGTATTTCACTTGCATTGCTAAAGAAATTAAGTAGTCTGGATCGGCTTCACATTTGGCAGGCATTTCTTTTTGGAAGTACTATTTTAAACATAAGAAAGTAACAAACCATGAATTATTCATCATTACATACTTTTAGGATTTAATAATTTAATCTAAAAATGAACCTACTCGTAACATTCCTTCCATATCATGTTGTAGCAAATCTTCTTTGCAGTATTGTAAAATTGCTATTCCAATTCTAAAGATCATTTCCATACCCTAGAAAAATAGTACAATTTATTAAGTTAGCGTAATAGGCTGAAGATATTAAAATGACCTTTTCAAAATGCTGAGTTTTCCAAGTTTCAGTTCATTTATGATTTCACAACAAATATGAAACATTGATAATTTTAATGACGTTTTTAATGAAAGACAACAGTTTTACAAACAACTTTCTGATATTTTGACTAATTTTTTTTAAAAATTGGGGGGGGGGAGAAACATTGCAATAAAATTTATTCAAATTTAGACCAGCACACTAAACACAAAGCAGGAAGGAAAAATTTATCTATGGGAATAATTATGTATGATATATGTAAGGTATGATTATAAAACATTTTTTATACATAGCAAACGATTTTATCATATGGAAAAGAGATATTATGCTTCTAAGAAGGTGAAGTCCTCTATAAATGTGTGAAATGCATCAAAACTTGGATCATCCTTAGAAAAAGTACATAGAATATATTCTAAGGATTACAAATTATAAATTTGAATTAGCAACTGATGTAAGTTCTAATAATTTCAAATAAAATTTACAAAATTTCCATCTAAGGGGAAAAATACAGCTTTTTCTGTGCCACTATTTAAGAGTAATTTTTTTGTTACAATGTATTATATCTTGGAATGCAGTTTTAAAGCATGTAAGTCATAGTTAATACATTTCAAATTACAATGCTGTGATATTTAAAGTCAAAAAAATTTTCAGTTAAGACTAAAAAAGAGGTGAATAAATAAAAAATGCATATAAAAAATAACAAAATGTTATAGAGTGTACCAAAAAGTACTCAAGTCATTAACTGCACGCTACAGTAAATTAAACTACTTTATATATCAAATTATAGCTAAGTTATTTATATTACAATAATATGATAATAAACAGGCACAAAAAAATATTAGAAAATCATAAAAACTCAATAGTCCTATTTTTAATAGAAACGATTTCACATACAAATAAATATTGAACAACATCAAAACATTTGGAAAGTTTAGTGGATATAAAAGGATGTCCCTATTTAATTAATGAAAATCTAATTCAGAATGCATAAAAGAATCAAGAATTTACAAGACATGCTTTTTTTATATTAAAAACTGTCATTCAAAATAATTTGGCAGAAAAATTTAATATTTAATACTTACAGCAGACTAAAACATGTTAATAAATACTGAAACTTAAATGTTTTATTTATGCCATTTAATAGGCACTATAACCAAGTCCTTCTGATAAATATGGTGATTATGAAAGTAGTATTTATAAAAAAAAAATAATAATAAAATTTTACTTGCACACCTCAGATAAGAAAAGATCCATGACCCTGCAGGCTAACTGGAGGGAAACAGAGGATGTAAATAATGTCAAAAACCAAGAAGAAGCATACATGGACGTATGAAAACTTTGAGCTTGGAAATGCATGTGTAATTCTGGAATTTGTTCCTACAAAAATAAGTACAATAACTGTGTTAAGGTTACATAAAATAAAAATTTCCTAAAGTAAAAAAAAGAAAAAAGTTAAGGATGCAAAATTTTAGATAACTTTTTCAATTAGCAGAAGAATTTTCTGTAAATTTATTGAAGAAATGAACTATATTGAATAAAAATTCATCAAGAGTTTTTACATTTAAACAAGCAATAAAATAAATTAAATTGTATGAATAAAAAAATGTAACGGTTAATTATCAGATGATTACTATTACTAATATTTTTTAAAAATTCAGTAGTTAATTTAATAGTTTCATCTTCAAAAAAGTATGTTATTAGTACTTCGTAAATTAGAACTTACATTTAAAAATGAAACTACCTCAGTATTTAATTTAATAGGCAAATTTGAGAGAAAAAAAATTTCACCTGTTGAATAACAATTATTATGTGATAAAAAGAAATGCCAGGTTTTGTTTAGAATTTAGTTTAACATTATTAGATAAAAATAAAAGATTAAATACAAAATACAGGCTCTAAAAAATAATACTTCATAAATAATAATTTAAGAATAAATAAATAAATGTATCAATAAAATTGCAAAAATAAATAAAAATTTGGTAATATTTTTTATCAGGATTTTTAGTCACAGATTAAGAAAGAATAAAAGGTACCTGAACAATACACTCCAGCTGATACATGCATAATCCTAGCTCAGCCATGCTAGGTTTATACATTTCTCTTAATCTATAATCTTCCATTAATCGTACCATCACAACAAAAGCATCTTCTTCAGGCATCTAAACATAATAACATTTATTATGCATGAAGAAATTTCCAACAAAAAATTAAAAAAAATTAATACCTCTTCACATAACAATCTTTATCACAAATTTCATTAAGTAATAAGTGATACAAGCAATAAGTTCTTCCAAAAAAGTTATCCTAATTTATCCATACGCATTAAAGGCATAAAAAATAGCCAAAAGAGTTTGAGACTTTATGTTCAAAAATACTACTGAATATAAAAGTTTTCTTTAGTTATGCCTTAATAAAAATGCTCTAATTCTAAACTGCGATACTGGGACACATTTAAAGAACATGCAAGCAGAGCTTCTTGGAAAACCTCTACATGCATAGAAAATACAATATACTATACATAAAAATAAAAGTGGACAATTTTAAAATAAAATTTCATTTTTTGATTTAAAAAAAAAACTTCTTTTATAGCTCCTAGTTTTAAAATAGTTTTGAACATGTCAATGTGATACAAATACAGAAAGATAATTGCTAAAAAACTTCAAAAAAGAATTCTGAAAAGTTGTTATAAGGTGACCTATTAAGTTAGAACATGTGTTTCTGAGAGTCATTTCCTCGTATATCAGGAGGGACATCTCAAAGACTTCAGAGATAAAAAAGACCTTGCTTCTTGCAAACTAAAAGGGCTCTACTAAGTAGTAGGCCAAGCATAGTTTGCATTAGGACACTCCAAATGCCCAGTTTTTCAATAGATGTCTCCCTTTGTGGCTTAAATGCGTAGCTATGTGCTGGCACTGTTGTTGTTGATATGGAACTATTAAGCTTTTGTTTCTTCCAAACTTACAGTTAGGTTTGTTTCTGCTTTTCCTTGTACATGCAAGAAAAGAACTTCCATTCAGAAATTTGTAAACACATACTTAAAGCCTTCATGCTCACTCGCTTGATATTTCAGATCTTGGTTTCAAAAATTAAAAATAAATAAGAACTTTTTTTGATCACCATGTAAGAAAAATATATAAAGACATATTTCACAAATAAATTACAAAATTTTTGAAAAATAATTACAATTTGTATTTTCCAATATAAATTTGAAAATAATTTGGATTACCAAAAGTAACAAAAACACCCAGAGAAATTTTTTTTAACACTTTTCTGAAATAATCAACATCAGAAACATCAAAATAAATTACATACCTGTAGCAGGAGCATTCCTACAATGAAAGCACTGCCCTGACAATAGCCCACTTCCCTGTCATGTAAGGAGTATGCTTTCATAACATTAAATAAGCTTTCTTGGCCAGGACCATCTTTTTCCCTGAAGAAGTCATGCTCTGGATAGGTGCGAGCAATATCCCTCAATATCACTTTTTCACATGGAGAGGAACTTTTCAGGTACTCGGTGTATAGTTCTCGAGCGGGGCAGGACTGAGCATTGCACAGTAATTGCCACACAATGTTCCTTATGTGGTTGGGAATACCTCTTCGCACCAGATCCTAAAGTTTGTAAATCGAAAATAATTAAGTTTGAATGATGTTAAAAAGACAGAATATTATTAAGATAGATTGAATTTTCCCGTTACTAGATATATTTAATAAAGATTGGTGTAATTTGTACATGATGGATGATTTTTGTAAATGAATAATTAAAAAAAAAAAGTTTATTGAAAATAAATTTGAATTTTAATTTAGGGGTCTTGGAGTCTAAGTATTACATGCATAGTCTAACTAAGTCAAATAATTTTGATATTTACCACACAGAGTTCACCAACTGACAGTATATATAAGTTTTTTTAATTAACACTCATGGTAAAAAGACATTCAACTTTTAATCTCGACTTTTTGAAAGGATATAATTTATCATTTTAAAAATTCTGTGTTATACCATGAACCCCAATTATAATATACACATGGAACTACAGGTACAATGAGAAATCATAATCACCTAACAATAGTAAAAACTTAACTATGTAAATTTTCTAAATAATAAACACAAAAATAATGTAAATAAATTATAATAGAATTCAATTAATTACGTAAATCCACATAACATGTGGTTAAACACCTATATTTAAAAATTACATAATAATTCGTATTTCCTTAATTTACAGATCATAGACCTTGATTTGTACTAAACTATTAGTCTTGTTTTTCACAAAACAACAACGAAGGAAAAACAGGAATTAGAAAAAAAATCTAATTTCTTTTAAAAAATGTATTTTTAATTATAAATATAAGAAACTATCAATTTAATAAATTTAATTTAATAATCAGAAACGATAACTCATTTTGATGCTAGTTTAAAAAATACTTAGGCATTCAGTTGAAACTGTTAAAAAACTATCTCCAAAATTTTTAAAGACTTTCTTTTTTCATTATTTATTTAAAAATTAAATTTCAGGTTTGAAAATCATTTTACATTAATTATTCAATTTAAAATCATATCTTTATATTGACTGATAAAATTTAATACGAACCACAATTTTCTTTTTTGAACTTTTATTAACTAATTTGCTTATGCTGGAACTCATTTAAAGTATAAGTGGAAAGCATACTTCAACTAACATCATAGATGGAAAACTATTTTTCCATGTGTGATTTATACCACCATATGTTAATAACTTCAGAAAATAAAAAATTAATAAAGTAATCAATGAAGAGCTTTGTTTACATAAATGTAGGTAACATGGTTAAAGGTTAACATGGGATCGAGAAGAGAAGCTAATTCAGGGGAACTATTTTCTCTTCTGTGTTAGGTGCTCATTCATTTGATCATTTTTATACAGTTCATCTGTAGCCATACACACAGAATTTATATATTCAGTTACAAATAAGCATAGAAGTTCAAGTTTATGGCCAATTGTTTACAAAAGGCCAAATTTGAAAATCTCTACCCCACCCTAAAAATGATCTTAAAAATTTAAAATAATTTTAGATAATAAGCTAAATCAATTTTTTTTTATAAATCAATCTAAATGGCAAAAAAAATTTGACAAAATATTACTAGAAAAAAAAAATGATCCTATAAAAGGTGAAACAAATTATATACCTACAAAAATTTTTAACTTAATATTATTAACTCTGAATACGAGCTTCACCTTAATTCCATTAAGGGACTGTCAGACTATGTAAATAAAGTAGGCGACCCAAGACAATGGAACTAGGAAAAATTGGGCTTGGAGCATGGTACAAAATGCAACATGTGCAGAGGTGCCACATATCTGACAAGCTCAAGCAAGAAGAAGAACTCTGAATACAGGTAAAAAGTTCGAATTCTGAGCGAACTGAGAGCTGTAGCAATTGGGTGGAGACTTAGAGAGTTAACAGTTATATTCTAAAAAAGAAAATCAAGCAAAAAAAAAACTTTTCAGAGGAAAAAAATATTAATAAAATTTTATGTATCAAATACATAGTACAAAACTATTTGATTTTATTAAAAAAGAAAATTAAAACAAATGATATTGAGAAATAAAAATTAATAATTCAGATAAGATGCATAGAAATCTGAAGATAAATTCTTAACCTATAATGTTTATAAAAAAAACAATGTTAATTGAAAAAAGAATTATTTAACTGCACAAAATGTGGTAAAATTAGAGACAAACTCTGTCAATCCGATTCAGCCTTACTTTGACAAATGCGTTTTTCTTCTTGAAGTAGGTCTCCCATTCGTTGACCACAGATCCCCATATCTGCCAAACATCTTCTCCATCCTCTTCAGCATTGGCACTTTGTTTGCTATCACCAGAGGCTACTGAGACGAGGCTAGTACTGGACGACTTCCTAGAATGCCCGGACGCAAGGGAATTCAGGGACTTCGCATCTGACTCCAGAAGTCTGCAATAGAAAAGGCAACGTTAGATGCGCGATAGCACAAGCACATAAACAATCAAAACCGTAAGTTTTTTTTAACGAAATAAATCTCAGCTATAAAAACTTAAGTTTAATCATCACTGTCTGTGCATTAAAATATTAGGAGGAATCATAAATAACTTCCAGTAATTCTTATAGCTCAACTATCCGATTTGACTTTTAAAACTAGAACCGAATCTACAACTTTAAGACCAGTCAGTCTATTTTAGATTTAAACAAATTATTTTGAAGAAAAAATTTTTCTTTTCGTGTAATTTATTAATTGAAGAACTTGGATCAATTTAATGATCAACAGCATTTGGAAATTGCATAGTAGAGCGTTTTACGCCGTTTTCTTCTTTCTTTAATTATTATTGAAGTTATACTTCTTATGAAACTTCCAACAAGGTTGCGTTAAACGTTTAACGCCATTTTATTGGCCGGGAAATCACGTGGTATGATCCAGTTTTCCCTCATTCATTTCCATATTGTTTTGGTTCTCACTAGCATAAAAATAATAAAAGTATTGTTTTTCTATAAATATTTTTTAAGTTTGATTTGATAGGGTAGTATTTTTTATTTTCAAATTTAGTGGATAACAATTGTAAAAAATGAGTGACAACAATCCCACGGACAATGCGACGGATTTAAGGTTATGTCAAGGTAAGTCTCTTGTGAATATCAATTGATTGTTAGGTTTTCTCTTCTGAAATTACATTATGACGCATTCACATACATTATTAATACATTTTCCAGGGCGAGACGATGAGGCAACCACAAGCACTTCCACTGGTTCAAGAGGGAAAAATGCACAATATTACCGTGATTACAGAGCACGGAAGCGAGCAAGAAAAGGAGTCGTTGAATAGAACTAGTGATCCTTCTACGACTGCTGATTCTTCTACAATTAACGTCGCAGGTCGCGGAGTTTAACTTCTTCAGCGAGGAGGGACTCCACGCACTATTTTTTATTATTATAAAACATATGACGTAGATGACAATCGGTACCAGGTAGATAATTAGATGTTTCTCTGGAGTTAGCTGTTGTTTAATTGGAAAAAAAACTAATAAAATACGAGTAAAATATAGCTGTTGTTTAATTGAAAAAAGAACTAATAAGATACTAATAAAATACTTCTCTTTTTCTAGTAGCATTAAAAAACAAGTAGTACTCCCAAATAAGCACGTCTGTTAAAATTTTAATCAAATCGAATGAAAATTGAAATTAAACCCGCGTGTCTGTAAAATGTTCTTTTGGGAAGACGGCAGAAAATTTGCGAGTGCTTTATTTTGTCCTTAATGCATCAGTGAAATAAAAGTTGCATCTATTACGAGAAATTTCAATTTACACTTATAAGAAAATAACTATTACTTTTTTGGAAATTTTTAAATCGGTGGTAATGAATAATACTTTTAAAAATGGCAATATCTTTAATCTTTTTGTTCAAAACTACTTTTAAGTATTCCAATAAAAATTACTAACTTTTTGACATTTTCCTTCTCGCTAGACATGATTTAAGTAGTATGATTTAAAGTAACATTCAAGTAAAATCTTTTTTTTTTTCCGCTTGAAGAAGTGTGTGGATAAATTTTGATTTATTCTCAAATACAACTCAACTAATGAATTTATACTAAAAATTACAAGTTTCGAATTATTAGAGCCTGCTTATAATTATATTCAAATTCATGATTTTCGTTCAAATTCATGATTTTAAATAAACTAAAAAAATAAAAAATAAATTTACTTTTCTACGAAGTTACACAAGGTTTAATAATGTTTATAGAAAAAAATATATTCAACAGTTATTGAATGTTGTAAATTCCATTTCTAAAAACAATCGAAAATAAATTTTAATTAAAAAATTATTTTAACCAGTACACATTTAAAAAGTGAGTAGAGTGTTTTCAATAAAAATACTTCGATTATATTCGAAAAGCTTAACTATTTAAATAAAATTCCCAGCCTTTTCTATGATACGAGACACAAAATCAACGGGCATATTCGGTTTGAAATTCATTATTTAAAAAAAGTTGATTATTAAATAATTATTACTATGTCAATTGCAACAGTGTGAGTTTTAGGATTCTAAAAAAATTAAGCAAACAAATAAAAATTTTACTAAGTAAGAAGGTTTACAAAATTAATAATAGGATAAATAATAGGAATTACAATCAAGAAATAAAATAATCAAGATTTAATATAATAACAAAAAGCTAATTTAATTTTCTAAAAAGACTTTACTTCACTTTTTTTTTATTATTATTATTATTATTAAGTGCAGTTTTTATCACGCAGTTTTGTTGTTAAAACGTTATCGAATACAAAAGCAATTTAAAAATTGTTTCACAAAACAGTGTTTCCACTTAATTATAACGATACAAAATTTTGTAAAAGTGTCACACATAGTTCTTTTACTACAATGAAATAGATTTACTGAACAGTAATTAAATAAACCAGAATGGAAACTTCACCTCTCGGCACTATTTCGATAGTTGCAAGCACGCCATGGGAGAAATCTGAGTGCATTGCGGAAAAGCAAATTACAACTCGGTATCATTTTGTGTTCGCAACTGTCTTATCTTTCAAGTTGGATTGTACCTGTATGCATGCTACGTTTTTCTCTGTCCCAAAATAAATATCAATAATCCAGCAAGATAATATATTTAGATACACTTAATTGCACAAAGTGAAATAAATACACACATAAAATATTAAATTAATAAAATTAAGTGAAGTAAAACTATCATTTTGAAGACGAAACAAACCCAACAAAACGTTATAGGATTCAGCACAGGAAGTAATCCTTCTTTATCTTGAAGTGTGAAAAATTTATGCAATAAAATGCTCTATACGAAATATATTAAAACAAGCTTTCAAATTTAATACTCTTGCAGATAATACTCGACTTAACACAATAAAATAAATTGTAATCCAAAAATTTATATTTACATGGCTTACTTTAAAACAAGAAACGTAAAAGCGTTTATTTGAAAAATATGTTTTTCTTCGTAATCTAAAGTACTATTTAGGAATAAGATACGGCAAGTAAATAGGCTAGTTTGGGAAGCAGGGTACAAAATTTTACACCAAAAAAAAAATTTTTTTTTAAAGTTTGAAAGCAAAATTTTCATTTTATACATTAAATTTCAAAGATAACTGGTTTAAATGCCTTTAGTTGAATGAAATATTTAGAGAGTAAAAAATTATTTATTGTATTTTCTTTTTACTGATTGTATTATTTAAAAATGTAAATATGTCAAGTCAAAGAAAATAATATTTTTAAAAGATTTAAAAATGTGGCAAGACAGCATAAAATAAAATCACATCTCAAACATTAACCGTTTTACCAATCCGTAAATTGTTATTCTATTAACTACGTCTAGACCTTTTTCAAAAACACATAAGAAATATATATAATAATAATTTCATAAGAGCACTTTCTGTAAAAGTTTTCTTTATTTATTTATCACAAATGTTTAATCTACTCCTGAAAATTCAAAATGCAAATAATTTAATTTTTAAAAAAATATTTTAAAAAATTACTTTACCGGCAGATAACACATAAGTAATTTTTTCATTGATATTTACACACTCACTGACTTATCATTTGATATTTTAACTAACTTTTCTTCCTTTACAACTGAAAAAAAATTTTTTTTTTTAGCTATCCTTTCTATATAAAAACTGCAAAATTGTAAACAATAAAAAATTTTTAAGATGTTTGCCATTTGCTTGTTTTATATTCGCTTGTGTATTTTTTTCCCCCTATCTACTAGTTTTATTCTTTTTAAAATATTTTAATTTGCAGTCTCTGATATGGACCTATTTATTCAAAATTGGTTCTTTTTATTTTATTTACATAACATTCCTTTTGTTTGCATTGAAATCTTTTGAATAAAAATGAGTAAACTGGAAATAATGAAAAGAACTAAGAGCAAAATATTATTCCGTTATACTTTGAAAATATGGAAAATTCCTCTCTCTGAAACTCTTTTTTGTCCTTTTTTCTGAAAAATTTATCTTTTTAATCAAACAGAAATAGTACTTTCAAAATGATTTAAAACATACTATCGAGTAAATAGAAATAGACGCAAACAAACAGTTGAAAAAAATTAAGATGAGTAGCAACATAAATATAAAAAGTAATGCTTCGTCGTAGCAATTCCAGAGCGATGAATGAATCTCATTAATATTGTTTATTTGAACACATTTGTTTTTCTAACTTCAACTTCAGGCTTTTGTCCCCTAACGCATTGCGCATTCATATATTCTAAAAGGAATGTTTGATCAGCTCACAAACTATTGACGTAGAATGATTTGTTTCTCTAAAAGCGTTACTCCTGATAAATCTATTCAAATAAATAAATAACAGGAACCAAAAAAGAAAAAAAAGAAAAGAAAAATAAGAAAATGATTTCAAAATACATCAGTGTAAAATTGCACTAACTTATTCAATTTTTTTAAACAAACAAAAAACTTTAGAGTAACGAACTTACTTCCTTTTTTTAGATAAAATACAGAACATTAAATTAATTTTTTAAGTTATTCTTTAATGAAATTAGCTATTTTTAATGAGTTTGGAAGTTACTTTTTCATGATTGTAAGTTTATTTTCGCTTGATTTGTAATTTTAAAAAAAAACAGCTCTTATTCAGCTTAAAAAAATTTTAAATTTAATATTATATATTTTTTTTTCATTTTTAAACATTAGGCTTTTGAATTAAATAAGATAGACTACGACATGGATTATGGAAAGTTTTCATAACTATTATACTATTCGTATAAAAATTTGTTTAGAATTAATTATTTTTAAACCGTTGTTAAAAACGCACATCAATAAATGAAGGGATTTATTATAAGATAGACATACCGCAGTTTCGATTTTTTAATTTATCACGAAGAAAAATCTAAATCAGTTCGTTTTAATAGTTTTTAATGAAGTAAAAAAACCATAATGTTTATAGTGAAAACATGCATAAATTAGGTTTGACAGTATCCTGATATGACTTTTTTAAAATTGAAGTGTTTGTTGAAAGAAGAAACAATTCACTTCAATTAACAACAAACTTGTTACCGCATTTTACTTTTTCATTTTTTTCTTTTCTTATAATCACCCTTTCAAACATAGCTTAGGGAATAAATGAAAACGAATTTCATACATACATAGTAGTAACTGTAATACTACAGATTGTTGCTTTTTCAAGTCTCGAGAAAGACAGCTAAAAGTTACCTTTTTAATATAAAACGGTAAGAAGAATCAAATAAATATTTGAACATTTCCTTAATAGGAAGGGTTACACAAAAATCGTCAAAAAACAAATATACGTTGAAAAATTTTAGTCACATAATTTTATAATAAAGCAAATTAGTTATTTTTCATTAAAAAAAACGAGCATCAAAGTAAAGGTTAGAAAAAGCAAAATTACCAATGGCAGTTGGCAGCTTTGAACAGCCCTTGTTGAAGCCCCTTACAACAAAGCTGTCAACTACAACTAATTTGCTTTTTGTAAAATATTTACAGACAATTAAAAACTAAAGCTTTCAGAATGTTTGGTATTTTTTGCCAAAAATTAAAAAGCTTGACCTGACAGAAGAGAACTGGAACAAAGCGGCCTTTTATATAACTAATTCATTATACTCATTTACATGTAGTGTTGCGGAAAAAATCTTTAAATCAAATTAACAAAACAAAGAATAATATATTATAAACTTAACACTAGAAGAAATTTTCCCAAAATACTAGAAAGTTGGCAGATTTGGAAAAATAGTTTTTTTCCGGTACGTCATGCAACACGTTTCGTCACAGCAGTTTAAAAGGAACTACAACTAAATTGAGCTTTATTTGTATTTGAAATAGCTTAAAGCATATTTACCTTCATCAAACGTTAAGAAATAAATAAATATACAAACATTTAGTTAGAAAACTAGCTTATCTAGATTACATGCTAAGAAATTGTTTTTTCAATTAATTTATAGAATACAATAATGCTTCAACATTAGTAAAACAGATTTTTACAGATATCAAACATGTTTCACTTACCTCCGTCCCCATTCCCAAATGACGCTAGATAAAGATGAACTTCTTGATCTTTGATAATTCTCCTCACAATAGAAATGATCCTCACATTGTACTGACACAGATCGCGACCGTATGATATTCTCATCAAAGCTATCAGGTTCTTCAAATTCGATTGCCATTATATTTAATCAGTTAAGTTCATATTCCATGGACGCATTAAATCTTCTTTAAAAACGAATATTATCGGTGAGAATTTTCCTTGCTGCCAAATCATTCAGATTGAACGTTCTTTACGTAAGTAAAATAAGTCACCAGTCTGGCGATTTTGAATGAAATAAATATACCATCTGTTTTTTTTTTCTAAACATAAAGGGACGGTTTATTTTTTCAATTTGATCGGGTTATCAGCTATCATATATAGTCAATTTTGGGAAAGGTAGTTCTTCCATAACTCAAACGCCAAACAGAAATCAAATGCCAAAAGGAATTTTCGATTAGGGCGCTCATGCATACAAACTGATATAGATAATGGAACAAAATCCACTACCGTGCAAGCAAATCTATCACCTGCCTTGCAAGGAAATGACAGGCATTGAAAAATGCAAGGGGTGGAAAACTATTGATCGAGGCCCTCCAATTTCTCAAAATGGAATCATCAATATTGAATTAGGGCAGCAAAAGTAGCTTTAACTTCTGATCAATGATTGTAGCAGTTTCTAAAGAGCACTTCCCAGCGGCGTGGTTCTTTTTTGCAGAAAATACTTATTTTTTGTAAAGAAAATAAATATTGCCACCAGCTTATTGTTTCTGACACGCAAAATGTTCAGAGATAGTTTGCTTAAAATTGTCTTTCTGGGTCACGATATCAAATATTCAGAATAATATTCAACTAAATTATAGATCGTTCTATTTTGAAGATCTTGACCCATAAAAATAGAAAATTTATCCAAAATAAGAAAATAACATCGCACCAAATAAAACATTAAGTGGTTACTGGCAAAATAATTCCGCTTAACTTAATAGATATCAAATTGTTTAAAACGATTTCAGAAACACTTCAAAAACAGTTTGAATCAAAAAAGAGTGAATAAAAAGTAAATTAGCACATTGAATCAAGATTTTCATTAAACAACCGATAAAAATATCAAATCACATAAAGCTTAAGTGTAGTGCAGATAAAATAATGAATTTTAATTTTATAATTCTTTTTTAACGAAAATCCAGTCGTATCTTCAGTAGAACAGTCAACTTATTTCATTTCATGATTGCCTTTTATAACAAATCCAATTGAATCGTTTGCTGTAAAAATAAACAGTTAACTTATTATATTTCATGAGTCTTTCACCACAAATCCTATCTGTACAGTTAGCCGCAAATAATTGTTTTATACCAAAAATCCAATCGTATCGTTTGCAGTAAAAATCAACAGTCAACTTATTTCACTTCATGATTGTTTTTCACCATAAATTTTATCTGTATAGTTAGCAGCAAAAAAATTTTTTATCTCTTATGAAAACAGAATTTTAGGCAACTTACAAAAGATGAAGTAAGACGGCACACAGTGAAAGTTCTTTAATGAAACTGAACGTCTATCATTAGAGTGAACAGATTAATAAAGTAGAGCATTATACAAACGAGATATCAAAGGCAAACGATCAAAACAAAAATAATAACTCTCAAGACCTACTTGAGAATTAAGACAACAGCTGCACTTTCGAACTCTGCGACATAAGTGCCTCTCTAGAAACAAATTCTCCATTGAGTGAAGGGTTGAAAGAACATATTTTTTTTAAACTTTTGAAGTGCAACGCCTAGTAGTGGGTCACGGCTCGCCTTCAGGGTTGTTCTTTTAATAATGAAACTGATCTCAGGGCTGCGTTCAACTGAAATAAAGATTCCCAGGAATGGATTATTAGAGGGTGTTGCTATGGTAACATTCAGAACGCCCAGCAGCCCCGATTGAATATTATAATATACTTCGGTGAATTAGAAAGCGCAAACATAAGAGACAATAAGATTTTTCAAACGTGTCAAAATTTGTAAAAATGAGATTTACTGTTTATCATTTTTAATGAAAAAGAAGCATATTTCCGTGTTGCATAAATGGAAAACACATTTATATTTGTCAAGTAGTTGATACTTCCTACTGTATTCTAACTTGGAATTTCAATTAATCCGTTATAGTTAATGTTTTTAAATATTAAAATTTGATTGTGATTTTGATAAATGAAAATAATAACCTAATAAAGTAATTTTGATTATTTAGAAGTTATTGATTTAGATATTTTTGATTTTTTTTAAATTTTACGAATACTAGTCGTGTTTTATTTTATTAAAAAATACTTTGAAGTGGAAAATAAAGAATTTTATTACAACAACTGATTTTGTAACATATTTATATAGATTTTACATACGATTTACTAATTCTCTTAAATGTTCATTTTTAAACTTATATTGTTTTTAAATGTAGACAATGAGACATATATGCTATAGCTGTTGAATGATAGCTTGTTTTATAGCGTTTAATATAATTTAATACTGTAAATTTAAAAAGTAAAATCAAAAACATTTTAATAGTCTTTTTAGGACAGTTTGGTCGAAAAATAGCTTCCCTTAAAAATTATTTAATAAACAATTCAAGGTACATTAAGACATCTTATGTTAAACAAATTGATCTACAGCAATAATTTGTATTGAGTACAAATTTTCCATACGTATTATACAAAAAATGACAACAGAGATTTTTGATACCAAACTATGAAACAATAACCTTTTCAAAAAATGAAATATAGGAAGTATATTTCTACTTTCAAAATTTAAAATGATTTTCAAAATTTTTGCAGAATCTATAAACTGTCGCTGCATAAATGATTTGTAATACTTAGAAGATTTCTAAATATAATCTATACCATTCAATATCTATAACTATATTAAAATATAGGACACTATCTGTGAACTGTGAAAAAACATCTTAATATTTTTATTTATTTATTAAGGAGCTAAGCTTCTTACCAATCCCCTTCACAATAACTGTTTCCTAGCATAAAACAGTTTCTTCTACGAAAGTTGAAATTATTCACTTAAAATACATATATTATAGAGAATTCTGTTTGCTTATGCTTGTGCTTGCACTTTCCACGTGCAACATTCCTTTATTTAAATTAAATAATTATTATAAGTCAAATTGTATTCTTAAATAGTATGACAAATCTCGTAAGATTTTATTTTCCTTATGATTCTAATAAGATCTATTAGAACATTAATAAAAAAAATAATAAAAAATGATTGTATTGTTTAATAACCATTTTTTTTTCTGAAATAACATATAAAACAAGAGGTACATTGTTATAACAAATTTGGTGAGTTCACAACCTTAATTTATAATTTTTGCTTGCCAAACAGGTTGATATATTGAATATATTTTGTGCATGCATCACATTGCCCATGAAGCTGATCGTTTAGTTCCAAATTAATTAACGAATCAGTTTAATAGTAATTTATAAGAGTATATTAATGCAATTTGCACTAAAAATTAATAGTAAAACGGTTAATAAGCTTAGACACTGATTCAAATAAGCTTATCCCTAGTTAGTATATTAAAGTAACCCTAAATTTAATCGAGTTGGCATGTTTTTTATAATAGAGAATGGATATTCATATTAAATAATCGTAGTGGTAGTTATTGACGCAACAGAATTTTATCTGGTAGAGAATTCGTTGAACGGATACTGCCGTATTTACGAAAGACCGGGAGAGCTGTATTAAGTTCATGGTTGTGTGTATGGTCTCTCCTATGTTGCTAATAGCAGTCGAGAGGGTGCAGGATTCCGTTGTGTGCAATGGAGACAGAGATGCAACAGCGCGAGGAGGAGGATGACGCAGTCACAAATACCAAGTCAACTGTTCATTGTGTTCCATCCATCAAATTTGATGTTTTCATATAGGCGTTACGTTTTTTGAGTGGGGCATTACTTTTAGATGCAGACGAGTTCATATCACGTCCGCAGGTCATCAAAGTGGGGGAAGTAGCTATCGACAGAACTAGCCACCTTGAGCGACCAACTTGGCCAGCTTTCAATATTATCTTGCACAACACATGAACTTTAAAAGAAACCAAGCTGAATGCACTGCCCAACTTTATTTAAATATTCTAATTATTCAACCCCTCCTGCAATCCTAACATCTTAAATAGTTTTAAACAATATATTAACTAAATTTGTTTACCATTCAACTATTGCTTGCGGCAATGCCCACGCGAAAATACTTCGATTTCAATTATATCTATTAAGAGATGTTCGCGATGTGCCAAAGTTCTTTATGTATTAAATTTTAGAAATAATTAAAAATCTGCCGAACAGTCATTAAATCACACAAACCACAAGTACGAGTTCGGGATATTTTAGCATAGTAGACAGCAGAAGTATTAAAATTATTCCAATGCTCCATTGAGCAGTATTACTTTATTGCGCACCTCTCGAGCCATAACTTGAGTGTCGTATAACATACCTATGCTATTACTCGATCGCCGCGGACCGGTCAACATTTGATATAGTTTGTCTCAAGTAAGAACTCCCCTAGCTATTCTTCTGAACCCGTAGCGGTGACTATAGTAACGAGTTATAACTATTTCAAGTAGGGGTGTGGGGTCATTGTTTAGGACAGATTTTGACTCGGGTCGGTGAGAGATAGGGAATCTTTTTCTTCGGCCTACTTTGTTAGCCCTAGAGTGAAAAGAAGCTACCCTCCATGAAATGCACTATTCTTGTTACCATAGCAGCAGGCGGCCTCAGGCTTTTTGGCGGAGGGGAGTTCTTACCGTAGACAAACTATAATTTTACAGCGGCCCATTGAAAAGGGACGTTAATTGCCTATATTTAGATAGTTTTGATATAATAATTTCAATGTAATTGTATTTAAACATGCCTTCAAAACAAAATACAGTTACATGAGCGATAATGGTCCGGATTTGGGTACGGATTTTAGTTTTAAGTTTATTTTAGATTAAGTTTCATCTCAGCTTTCAGTTAACCTCTTGTCCATAGAAAGTCGCACAAAACTGAGAGATATACACCATAGTTAATAAAATGGAAATTATTTAATGTTCCTTGGGCGGCCCGGTACCATTTGATTTACGGATCGATGGTTGGGAACCACTGCTTTAGACTTCAAAAATATGGTCCTAAGAACGATCGAAAGAAGAGAGATCGAAAGTTTTAACCCCTTACTGTTAATTTCAATCTATTTTAATCGCCTTTGCACACTATTATTATAAAATTCGTTTCATCAAAAGATGTGGAAAAAATTTTTTTAAAATTATTTATATTTTTTTATTATTTAATTTGTTAATAGACGAAAAAAAACTGAGCTTCAAGGTACACACATTTTTACATAATTTCTAACTTAGTAACTTTTCGAATGACAAAATTTAAGACAAAATCTATGAAGTATTTTAAAGTTAACTCAGTTTCATAAGATAGAATTATTCTGACAAAAAAAAATTATGTGTCGTTCTATTTATTTCGATCAGCTTTAAACAATAATGGTAATAAACATTGAGGATGAGGTAATTATTTGATAATAGAATGTAATAAAACAGGTTCCAAACAAAGAATTACTTTCACAATGCAGATGAACTCAATTACATTTAAATATTTTTCTTATCAAAATACCATTTTGTTTAGAAACAATATATATTTGCGTCCTTAGCGTCCGAAACGTGACGTCCCAAAGGGGCAAAAGGACAAGATTTCAAATTTTGCACGCATCGCGAAATCTGATCTCGAGATAAAGTTCAAAAGCGTCTACTAAAAGAAAGTGCATAGAACAACATAAATCTATTTTGGATTTATTTTAACGTGAAGAACATAAAAAATATCGTCTGCAGTATTATGTCTCAAGAATATTGAATTCCCTATGCACTTAAAATCCAATTTACTAATGTAAATATTGGTGATTAGAAGGGATTCTACTTCAAAAACAGAAAACTAAATGCAAATTTAAGTTTTGACTTTCTCAAAGATGATATTGGCAAATTAAATTTGGATTACATAAAAACGGCGTTGTGGTAGGCATAATTGCAAATCGATAT